ACGCATGGGCAAGGCGTTGCATCTCATGTGGCTGTGCCCTGTCTGGGGATTTTCCGTGGGTTGCTTTCTTTGTTTGCCTCATGCGCCATATGTTTTATGCGCCTCTTCCGCGTGATGTTCCCTATAGGCATGTTCATGACCCACCCTTATGATGTGCAAGCGCTTATGAACCTGCCAGACCTTTTCCCCCAAGCGAGATGGGCTGAGGACGGGCATCATTGCTTTATTGCCGCTTGCCGAAAAATGGGGTTGGGGGGGGGGGGTCCGTGAGTGCTCAGCCATGAATCTGCGTGGCCAGCTTTTCCAGAATTTGCTTCTGCGGCTGGTGGATACGTGTGCGTTGATTCAGGGCATTGCTGTCATGCATCATTTAGTTCCTCATGGCATGTGAAAGGATGTTCTTGGGGCAAAGGAAACTCACTTGTGCAGCGCCCAAAACTCCCGTTTGCCATTTTGGCAGGTGGTTCTACGGCCTGGTCTTATGGTGCTAGTGCGGGTTATACAAACCTTGAGCATCTTGCTAGCTTGGTAGAACCAGCGTCAGCTTGAGTTTTGGGCCCTCACTTGAAACGGGCGACGGACTCCGCAATTTCCGAAGGGACTCCCAATGGAACATCGCAGCGCTTGGGAACTTGCATAGAAGGTAACCGGCCCTTGGTTGCCGTTTTCTCCAGGATCCAAGCTCGGTTCCCAAAAAAGAAGGAACTAAATGCCAACCTCGCGGTTTTCACGGTTCCAGCCTCCCAATTCACGGCTCCAACCGCCCATGTCACGGTTCCGGCCGTATTTCACGGTTCCGCCCACGTTTGCGGTTCTTGGAACCACCGGCGAGTTACGAAATCGAGTTGGTTTCCCAACCAGGCTTTCATCAACAAGCACCAAGAATGATTTGAAACCAAGTGTCTTTTCGTTGTAAGAATCGCAGCCTATGTTTGTTTCAACAGTGGCTATGGCTCAGGTGACCCGTCAGGTTGCTGGTTTGGATTGCTGACGGCACCTGAAGCCCTGCTACAGGGCCCATGGGGCAAAAATGCATACCCGAAATGGAAGCCTGATAAATGGAACTCCAAAGACTAAACTGCGGTCCGCCTTGGGTTTCTTTTGACCCAGCGAGCGAACCCGCGCTGAGGTGCGGTACCGCTCCGGCGAGGACCTGGGCCTGGACATGCACACCGACGACTCGGAGGGGATGTTTTGTTTTTCTCGATGCACATCGCGCGCTTATGGTTTGGCCCGCTCGGGGGGGGCATCCAAGGTTTCTGGTCGAGCTTTGTTTGAAAGGAGGCCACCGGGAAGCAGAGCGCAGGTGTTTTGGTGCATGTCTCCGTACCGGGGTTCCCCATTTTTGGCTGTGCGTAATGTAGATATTCACAGCCAAGTAAGATATTCACAGCCTTTTTGAGCAAAGGGTCTCCCTTTGTGGAAGTCAACCAGCCTGGAGCTTACGTCTACCTTCGTCCAAGGAGGACAGATCATGCCTGCACAACACAATCCCAAGTATTTCAGAAAAGTTGCACGGCGAAGCACTTGGAGAGTCCCGTCTTTTGTGACAAACACCTTTCGCCGGTTTTGTGCTGACTGCTTGACATGGCATCCTCCCGCATTGCCATCCTTGCCATCGGCCGTTACCGGGGTGATTTTGTCGAGAACTCTGAAGGCAGATTGCACTTTGGTCAGCTGCTTGCGTTTGTAGTGCAAGGGGCATCACTTTGCGTTGCTCAAGCAAGCTGTCTCCCACTCGCTTTGCTGATTTGGAGAAAGATATCATGGACCCTCCGCAAGCCCATTGTGCGCGCTGTTGGAAGGAAGGCTTGCTTCATCATGTGGCCGGTGCTGACTTGCGTGACAGGTTGACAGTCAATGGAACCCCTTTCCAAACCAAATTCCCAGCTCCACGATGCGTTGCATGTGCCGCATAGGACGCTTTTTGCCTGACTCTCGGTACCTTTTCCATGTTAGTTGAAATTGAAATCAAAGACGGTTCCCAGTATTCTGGTTTTTGTTGTTCAAAGGGACACCCAGTCGACACCAGGTTAATTGGGGGTCCCAATGTCAAGAAATACTGAATCGGACATACCGACGCACCCACATGAAGCTGCAGGTCGCAGCATTTGTTTACCTTATTTTGGGCACACCAATTGAGTAACACAGGGGCCTAAATAATTGCTAATCGTATTTTACTTCATGACTGAATTTTGGTTTTATGGTACCCCACAATATCCGTTCTCATTTTGGTTGGCCCTTACAGCACCGATCGGTTTTCATGGTGACTCACGTGGCTGCGTTCTTTTTGAAGGAACCTGTTTTTTGTGGTTTGAAAAGGGAAACTCGAGGTGCAAGCACATAGGTGTCCTTTTTGGTTGTTTTGGCAAAATCATAGATGGCCCTGGTTTATCAGGTGGTTTACTTTGAAAGGATCCCTGTGTGCAAGCACCGCTTTTGGCCGAAAAGAAAGACATTGACACACCGCCGCATGGCCCGCGCGAGAGCTACGAGGACGTGACCTTCAACCTCTGCCTGGGTTTGGACTTCGCCGGGGCGGGGTTGCAGTTCTGCGGCATGACGGGGGCGACGGACCACCGGAAGCACCAGATGTGCTACAAGCATCGCAAGGCGAAGCCCCCGCGGCGGTCTCGCGTTTTTTTGTTGTTCTTCTCGTTTTTATTTTCTTTTTTTTCTTCATTTGTTTCCTTCTTTTTCCTCCCCACGGTTTTTGGACCTAGACAAGTGGCAGCTTCATGGGATGCGACGAGTAACTTGCAGGCTTTGAATGGGGGAAACCCAGCGACCCCGAGGCGACGCGACGTTGAAGCAGAGGCAATTTAGGGCTCAGGTTCTCCTTCTTGAGGCTCCAAAAAGGTTTTGGACCTCCCACAAGGTAGACTTTGAGGGTGGGTTTCAAAGGAATTTCTCAAGGACGCCACTGAGATTCTGGGGTCCCTCCCATGTTTTCGCCACACGCCGGGAGTTTTGGGGCCGCGCCGGATCCCGGAATCTCGAACTTGGGCTCGGTCCCGGTGCTCCGCGGTCCCCTTGACCCAGCGGACGCCTGAAGCTGGCTTGAGAATCTTCCTCCAAGCCTCCGGGAAAATGAACAGGTCCCACGCTGATATCACGCAACATGGACGCTTCTCGAATTCCTTGCAGTCATGCTCCAGTGGTGTCAGTGTCCGTCCTCTCTCTTCCTCTGTCTCAGCCTGAATTGGCTTCCCTGCAACTTGTGGTTTGGAGCCGGGTGGTTTGGAGGTGACACGTTCCCATGTGAGGGTTGCTCAAGATGATCGCTTGCGAAGACCAAAAAGAGGATGTGCCCCACAAAATGGGAAAAGCTACGCATGCTCATTTTGGGGGCCGAAGGGAATGTTGATCAACCACCATGTACCTTCTATAAGGAACCAGGCGGTTCCAGTTCCCAACCACCTGAAAGCGGGCCTTTATCAGGGGGTTCAAGTTGCCAACCCAACCCAACCAATCCAAACCAATCCAAGCCAAGATTGAGGGAGAGAGAGAGGACGCTGGCAGGGCCACTGTGTTTTCCACTTGGGACGGAGACGTCACGGAGCAGATGACATCACGTGCCCTGAGCTGCAGACAAAACAAATGTTTCTCGTTTTTTGAGGGGTCTTTTGGAACATGGGGGGCTCGCTAGATTTAAGCCACATGGTGACTTGGTAGCCCACCACCGCAACTGCAAGATGCTTTGGCTTGGACACCTAGGTCAGGAGAGCGCTTGAACCTGATCCTCTGGAACCACTCCAGTACGTCGCTTTGCTGTTGTGCGGATGTTGCTTTTGATCAACCTGGAGGCATCACCCTGGAACATGTGATATCATTTGCGATTTTCCTTTGTGAGCCAAGGTACAGAACGAGTCACTTAGCATGCACGTATGCTGAAATCCGATTGGCTCGTGCTGTGAATCCTTATGGAAAAAAATGGTCCAAGGGGTCCAATTGGCATTTTGGCTGAGGTGACGAATCGGAGGCTCCGGAGTACAATGCCGAATCAGGCCAGAGTTGGGGGGAAGGGACCATTTGCAAGATGTTCTTCGCCATGTTCCTCGCCTTAGGCCCTCCTGATGCGGTATGTGTCAGCTACACCCATGACCGCGACTTCGGCAACTTCAAGGACTGAAGCAGCAAGCTTTGCGGGCGGACTGTAATCTGCTTTTGAACGTGCGCCGCCTTTTTGGGGTAAGCCAGGTTGATGTTCGCAGGGCAGCATGGATCAAGACGAACATTGATTTGGACTTAGCAAAAGTTGCAGATGTAATTATTGCTCAGATGATGGGTTTAGCATGTCTGGAACAGAAACATCCTTTGGCTCGGTCTGGTGCTTTGTCCTTTCTCCTTTCGCTGCGAGTTGAGCAAAACAACCCCCAAAAAATAGGAGGGGGGGGGCCCTGAAAAAGCGCACACATTTAGATACGGGTGTGTCATTAATGTTTGGCGGTGTTAAAGGAAGGCAAGAGGAAAACCGTTGTGCCATTTTGGAGGTCCAATCTTGGAGGCGGTGTTTTTCCCTTCGAGGGGTCGAGTCCAAAAACGTTTTCAAACTTCAAAGCGGGTTGCCAACCCTAAGTCAGCTTCCATTTGCTTGATATTTTTTTTTACTCTTTTTTGACAAAAGGAGTATTTTCTCTTATTGGTTCTAGGGGGCATAAGTGAATGGAGGTGAGGTTCGGTGAGAATTGCTGGTATGGTTTATTGAGAGGGAACACATGCACCATCCGGTGGACATGAATCGGGCCCAACTGAGTTCTGTCCACCAAAAGGGTCCCTTATTGACATTTTCATATTCTGGATATGTGTCTTAAGAATTAGCCCCCCCCCAAAAAAAAAAGAAAGAGAAAAAACAACAAAGAAGAGGGGGTTACCCTCCAAAAAAGACACGCAAGAAAACACCTCATACCCAAGTGGATATGTGTCTCAAAGCTCCCCCCCTAAAACCCCTCAACAAGAAGACAGCCCTCACTTCTTTTCCAGATTTTTGGGGGTCCAAATCCTAAAAAAGATCCCCCCAAAAAGCCCCGTGGAACTCGCTTGAGCGAGCGAGGAGTACCCCAAGGGCAAGGAGCACTTCCGGGGCCGCGGCTGGTGCCCGCGGAAGCGCTTGGAGTACCCAGGAGCCGAGTGACTCGAGTCACGAGCCGAGTCGAAGAGCTGAGAGTTTCATTCGGGCAAGAAACTTGCGGGGCTGAAATCAGGCTGAAATCGCCAGCGATGTTTCCAAACATAACTTATGTCGATTTTTGTTGGACACGTTCCTTCATTTCGGCTTTCATGCCTGACATTTTCATAATTGAATTTCATAGTTCAGGAATGGTGTCCTTTTGGCCTAACAATTTCAACCGCTTTTTTGTTTTGGAACTTTTCATTTGGGGAATCCATCGACCCTTCTCTGTTTTGACTTGAGCTTCTTGGGTCTTCATTCCTTTCCTTTGCAAAATGTGACTCGCCGTTTTTTGCAGGGGGCTTACCATGTATTTTTCGGGTTTCAGCATGGTTTGAAGGCTTGGAAGGGATGTGGACTCAAAAAAGGTTTTCGGTGGTGGTTCTCTCTGCGCGATGGGTTCCTTCGAAGTGGCCTGCGGGAACCGCTCGCCAGGATTTGAGCCCGATTGTGCCTGCCTTAGAAGCGGCGCCGGATGGTTGTTTGTGGCCCGCTTTCGGTGTAATAACTGGATTGGATGAATTTGGGAACTTGGCTCCCTTTCGACGAAGTGGAGGGAAGCTTCAGGCGAGAGCGAGGAAGAGGACGGACACACCTGACACGACTAGAGGCTGACTGCAAGGAATTCGAGAAGCGTCCATGTGGGTTTGCGTATCAGCATTCTCAGACATTCCTGAGGAATGTTCGCAACATGAGTGATTTACATTCGCCAATCAGAGTTACCTGGGTTGGGTCACGACAAATATTCAAGGTTGTTTGTTTTCATAGGCTGGCTTCATGCTCCTTCATTGCGGTATGGAATGCTTAGCTGGATCTTCTCCTAAGCCCAACGGAAGATGCAGCTCACAGGCGTATTTCTGCCAAGAGTTTGCGCCTGATAGAAGGTTTCTTGGAATCCGTCCCTGCCATGTGATCTGCAGCCAGGCCCGGGTCAGGTGATTTTGCAGAGTCAGGCATGCGGCTATCAACTGACCTGGCATTTAGAGCTCTGGGGAGAGGCAGCAAGGATTCCTCGAGCGCAGCGCAGAGACAAGAAAAAGGGACGATAGAGAGAAGAGAGAGAGAGAGAGAGAGGGAGATAGGGAGCGTGTGTGTGTGTGTGTGTGTGTGTGAAAGCGTTACACAGACAGCGAGCTGCACAATTTAAGATGCACTGTATTATGTTACTTGAGCTGTTCTCGTTTGGGCACCTTACTTGCTGTGTTGCTTTCTTGGAGTATGTTGTTTCATTTCTTTCGTGCGTTTGTTCGCTCCTTCTCGGGTTTTCTTAGCTAAACATGGTGCACTGGGCCTGTCATCACGGCAGCTGATCGAAGTGACTTGCATCCAGACACATTTTTTTGCTTGAAGTTGCGAGGATACCTGGGTCTGAACTATTTTTTTTCCTTCGAGGGTACCCTTGGCTTCTGGTTGTTAGAGGTAAACAACCAAGAAAAGAACCCATTTTGGTAGTTTCAATCATAAAACAGACTCACCTTGAGGTCCGGAAAAAAGGGGTGGCTTTCCTTTGGACGCCCCTTTAAAACTACAGAACAAGGGGGCTAGCCTCAACAAGAGGCACGCCCACTTGGCTCCGAAGAACTTGAGGCCCGCAAGGTCCAGGTCGGCCGCCGTCCCTCGCGCGCGCGCGCGCGAGCGCCGAGTGCAGGTGGTGGGCAGCACTGCGGAGGCTGAGAGCCGACGGGCCTCCAAGGAGCAGGCCCCGACGGTTTCGAGGTGTGACCGGAAGAAAAAGTCACCTGGGAATGAACCCGAAAGGAAGCCCAGTAACTCGTTTTTCGGGGGATTCCGACTAGTTACTTGGTGTTGGGAATTCCCGAAGACAAATTACACCAGCATAGACCCCAGATAGCGAAACACGTGCCAACGATTGCACGCCAGCAACTCTAACCGCACTGCCAGAAGAGCACCTCAAGCAAGACCCCGAACAGCATCCCAAAACAGCACCTGCACAAGAATTCCCAAATTTCATGCCTTCTAGCACCCTGCCGTCAATCTCGTAAAAACACACCTGGCCTTCCCCAAAGCAGCAACTGTGCCAAAACAGCACCTGCGCCAGCACCCCAAACTGCATGCCCCCTAGCACCCCGCCGCTCGCAAAACGCGCCTACGCCCGTCACCAGCTCCCCAAAACCACCCCCATCAGCACCCCAAACTGCATGGCCACCAGCACTCTGCCATCAATCGCAAAAGTGCGCCCGCGCCAGCACCACAAACAGCACCCCCAAACGGCACTCCCAAAGCACTCGGCTGTCGATCTCGCAGAAATGCGCCCGCGCCGTCACCAGCACCTCAAGTAGCACCCCATGCAGCACCCGAAAACAGCACCTGCACCAGCACGCAATCTGCATGCCCAAGCACCCTGCCGTCAATCTTGCAAAAGTATCACCAGCAAACAGCACCCCAAACAGCACCTGCACCAGCACCCCAACTGCACGCCCCGAGCACCCAGCCGTCGATCTCGCAAATCACTTTGCCTTCTTTATTAGAAGTTGGAACCCCTATAGCTTTCAGCTATCTGGGGAACAAGGAAACCAAAGCTCTTCTTTTTTGTGAAGGGGGTTATATTCCCTTTTCCGGTTTTGAAGGAAGGTGGGAAAGACCCCTACCTCGCGATCGGCGCTAGAAGGGCAGGGAACGAGAAATGGAGGCCGACCCCGCGCAAGAAAACAAACAAAAACTGGGACTTCCTGGCGGTGTCCCTTTTTCTCTCGGGGAATCCGCTTCCGGTTCATTCCGAAGCATTCCCCGGCGATCGCACCGGCAAGGTTGGGCAGGGTTTCTGAGCCAACCTCCTTTTGGGAGCCAGTGCCGATCGTTTCGATGGACCACCCACCAGGTCAGCTGAGAGGAACCCCTTTCCTCCGAAGGTCACCTCCCAAAGTGGCGATTTCAATGGAAACCCATAAATTGCTCAATTGTTGCAAAAAAACAACTCCCGTGTTTCGTTAGGTACCTTAAAATTGGGAAGTACTGAAAGCAGTATCGGAGGATAGCCTCGTACGCCTGCGCCGGTCAGGCTGCAGATGCGATCCTCACGATCTTCACATCCATGGATTCGGCACCTTGCTTACACAAGGTTTGGTCAACATCTGCAGCTATGTTTAGTTCAGGAGGCACAAAAAGAAAAGGGAGTCACTCGATTTTACCAGCACCACCAGTGGACTCATTAATGGATCCCGTCAATCACAGGAACTGTTTCGAGCGTGGCTCGACGTCGAGGCTGCTATCCATGCGACCGAGGATGGTAGTGGCCTCATCACCAAGGATGAGTTTGCGACCATGCACCACTGGCATCCTTTGCGGGTAAGAATCGATCCCCGAACATATGTGCAATGGTCAAACCACCCTCTTACTTGGGGCCAACAGGGATGGTCATCCACCTGGTAGGGATCCTTTCTGGCCATTCTCATGGTTCCTGTTGAGGGAATCACGACCATAGGCCGTATAAGAAGTTCCATCGCACATAGGGCAACCTAAAACATGGTCGAAGATTTCATTTTGGAAGTTTTCCCCTTTGAACGCCGCGGGAAACAGTAGAGGCATCAATTTAGGGTTGTGCCTAGGCTGGTCCTGTCAAGGGCAGGTGGGGATTCATGCCCTGCTCAGTATTTGGGCAAGGACAGCCACAGTGCGGATATCCGTCCTTTTGATTCTTTACCATGGGGTTTTGGGTTCAGCCTTTTGGTAGTGTTTTTTTTTTTTGTTTTTTTTGTTTCTCGACTTTGAGCAACTGACCACTCAGCCAGGGGTTCCCGGATCTAGGTGGCTCCCAGCCATCCCCTTTGCTTTTTAGCGTTTAGTGTTTAGTGGGGTTTTCCATTTAGCCCACTAACAGTTAGTCACTTCTAGCGGGGGATCTGAGGACAGCTCAGGGACGGGGAGTTTTTTTTTCTCGTTTTTTTTCCTTTTGCCGGCGCCAAGTTTCGAAAAAAAAAAAAAAAAAAAAAAAAAAAAAAAAAAAAAAAAAAAAAAAAAAAAAAAAAAAAAAAAAAAAAAAAAACCGGCCCCGATCTCTCGCCGATCTCTCGCCAGGAAGTATGACTCACAGGTCATGTCCGCCCTGAGGGACCTAGGCATTAAGGACCGGAGAGGATGCCTCAGGGGTCTGGCTGTTTTTGGTGGGGACCATACTGTGGATGGTTGCGAAATCCATTTCGCACCACTTAAGAAACCCAACGGAATGAATGATTCCCCAACGCAAATACCAACGAACAATGGCTTCAACCATGGTTTCAAAGTGGTGCAGGATTTCGTCCATCCACAGTAGATGTCTTTTTTGGTTGTTTTGGCAAAAAAGAATAGATGGCGATTCCTGGTTTATCAGGTGGTTTACTCATCTACCAGGGCCATCCATTTTCCCCCAAAGGCCTTTTTTTTTGGGGGGGGGAAGCCAAAAGCACAACAGGAAAGGCCATTTTGGAGGGGTTCAACCTTAAAAAAGGCGCGCCCAAATGAGTTCCCAATATTTTCTCCTCGAAGGGACCTCCAAACGCGAGTCAAAGTTGGGGCTCGATCAATATTCCCTTCGGCCGTTGTTGACCATGGGTAACTTTCCCATGTGGTTGAACTCTTATTTTCGTGGTTTTCCCCTGGTCCCAAAAAAAAGGGACGCCGAAACACTTCCTCTTGGAGTTTCTCGGGGATTCCGATCGGTTTCCCTTAAGCCAAAGTAGCTGAGCTGGCCGATGTTGAGCGAGGCCTTCAAAGCTGGCTGCTTTGAAGGCTTGCGAGAAGTGTCTTGCGGACAAGAGACCAAGGCCCCGTTGCTTTCCGGAGAATGGGGATTCAAAGTGTCACTTGATGAGCAGGGGAGCCATGGGGTTATGGCCTTTATGGTGCTTGGTCCCCAAGAGTTATGAGTCTATTTGTTTACCATCAAAGTCGCTTAAGTGGTAGGTAAAAGAAGAACCATCGTTTTTCTGATCAGCAGAACACCAGTTTGTTTCTGGTTTGCCAGCTCGAAGCTTTCAACTTTTGGGCCCAGTTCAAAGATGTCCGTGAGACCAGGTTCGGGAGGCATGCCAGCTTTTTTTTCTTCTTCTTCTTCTTCTTCTTCTTCTTCTTTTTTTCCTTGTATTTTTTTGCCCCCGTTTCGCTTTATGGATATTTGGAAACGGATCTTTAGACTTTCAACTTTTTGGTTGAAACAGGTCGGATTCTCCATCGGACCCACAAAACGTGATTCACTTTTTGCAGAGGGGTCGTTGCAGCAATCAAGTTCAGATATATTGACAGCAGCGCCGCGAACCTGTCTCTGACGCTGATTTGGGCCCAACTTGTGTTTGCAGTGCAGGCGGGGTTTCTCGAAATTGCAGATAGGTCTTCCCTTATCACCATGTAGCTTGGGTCATTAGTTTGTCTCTTTTTGGGGGTGATCAAAGTCAGAACGTGGAGCACTTGGGGGGGGGGGTTGAGTTTGATCATGATAAAATAACGGGGCGAGATTTATATAGCTTTGTTGTTTTTTGTTTGAATGTCCCATTCAAAGCATCGACCTGAGGACAAGCAGTTTGACGTCTACGTACAGCTGCTTTTCCAGCCCACTGGTGTTACGCAGAGCCACAGCACAGGCGGTCGATTTAAGGGTCCTTGCCAGGTGAAGACAACTCGAGCCACTTGCTCAAAACCTGAGTAAGTGAAGCGTGGGGGTGCAAATTCTTCACTCTGTCCACGCCTGCCAAATGATAAGTGCACCGGCTCACGGGCGGTGTTGGGAATGAGCCGTTTCGGGGATTCCCTTCAAAACCAAGTGGCGGGTGCCTTTTTTTTCTTCGTTTTCTCGGGGTTATTCCATTTCTAATTCCCTGGCTATAGAAGCAGCAAGTTCTGTTTTTTCCCGTACAATCCCGAACAAGTACGGGTACCAACTCCAAAAAACAGATGGCACAGACCCGTGTGTCAACGCAGGGATTCGGACCCCCCACTCCAACCGTAAAACCTTGTGTGTTTTCAAGAAGGAGTGGTTTACAATGTTTACAACCATCTTCTGCGTTTCCAAGCATACCCTTGTGTTTTGCTGTCTTGGTTGAATTATCTTGTGCGTTTTCAAGCATACCCTTGTGTTTTGCTGTCTTGGTTGAACCATCTTGTGCGTTTTCAAGCATACCCTTGGTTGTGACTTTCCTTGGAAGACAGCACGGATGTAAGGCCAGCTCAGATTCTGCCTCATCCAATCCCTCCGACGTGAACCTGTGGCTGTCTTTGCGACACCAAACCATCCAAAAGCAAGCATGTGCGTGATCCCAGAAAGGAAAGCGAGATCTGGCCCTGCTTTTCATGAGCGTCGGGCAGTCAAGGTATTGGGACAACCAAGGGTACCAAGAATGCCAATGGGCATTTTTCAAGACCAGGAGCCCGGGGCTTCGCCGGTTTTTGAGCCGTCTGCTGCGCGTTTCTGGTCGCGTCAGGCGACAGTGTGGCCATGGGCCTCGAGGCCCTGGTGGAGGCGCTGTGTCCGGGGCCCCGGGCTTCGATGTGGATCGAAGTCTCGGTGCCGGTGGTTCGGGTGGTGTAGGGATCACCACCCAAGTTGGGTGAAACACCTGGGGGTTGGGCTGGTTTTGGGGTAAAGGGTTGGTGAAACACCTGGGGGTGTGAAGTTGGGCTGGTTTTGGGGTAAAGGGCTTTGGCGGGGGTAAAAGAAGCTTTTTTTGCGCCCACCCGTTTCTTTTTTTGATTTGATGGCCGTTGGAGGCCATGTTGAATTGAGCATTCGGACGATGTGAGAAGCCCGAGTTGCTCAGTGACATCTTTGTCGCTTGCAGGATCGCCGTTAACATGGCTAACCCCGAAAGGGTTGCAATTCTTCTTCTACGAGAGACACTGGGCAAGAACAAACAATTCTCGAGTTGCGCTTGGGAAGGTGAAAGGTGCCAGCGCTAGCTACACGCAGGAAGGACTCGCGTCACGTGATTTCTTCCGAAGACTTGTGACTCAAGACAGCCTCGCTGGCAGGTACAGGTAGGACTCCGAAGGTTCCAGCGAATGGGCTCGTCGGCGCAGCGTTTCTCCGCAGCGTTTATGCGCTCAAGCCCCCGATGAAGTTCCAATGAAAGGCAGCGTTCAGTCCCCACGTGACGGCCGATGCCCCACTGATTTGACCAAACCCCCCCAAAGTGTTTGTCCATTGATGGCCGGCCACGCCATGACCCGCCTTTTGGTGGGACTGATCCTAGCCACCTGTCTGCAAGCGCTGCACCGAGTCACGGCTTGAGGTCCAAGGTGTGCTTTGCGCCCGTTCGGGCGAAAATAGATGGACCCCACCGGTTTCAGTTTGGTTGTTATCCATGGATGTTTCCCCTTGTCCTAGCTGAGGCAGTCGCAAGCTTCAGGCCGGATGTGGATGCGTGTGTTTGTGTGCCTTTACTGTGCAAGCTCAGCTTGAGAGCTACTGTGGACCAACTCCACGCCAGAACCGGTTGGCATTGGTTTGTCACCCAGAAATTGACGGTGGCATGCATCCCAACTGCCGACCGGCCCGGATGTCGCAATCCCACCAGTCGATCTGTGCGGGGGATCGGATAACGAATTTGGGTTTTCCGCACTAAACCACTAAAGGTTTAAAACAACTTTTCGCAGGGCTTCGCAGATTTCGCCGAGGGATCCTTTTGCAGGTCCGTGCTCTTCTGCGGCTGGACCACACCCCCGCGAGCCCGGAGCGTGCAGCGCAACGCCTGGTTCGAGGCAGGCGCAGGACATTCACCGCGTGCCTCCTTTGACAGGACATGGGATCTTTAGGGGAACCCGAGCACTGGGTGGTGCTTTCCGGGTCTCCCTTTCAATCTACTCAAAAAGGAATCCATCAAACAAAGGCAAACCCAAATCCATGGGTTTGGTGGGTATTTGCACAAATAACGCATAAGTGTCCCTTTTGCTAGTTCTAAGTCATCAAAATGCCAGGGAGATGCTCAGATGTTCGCGACACCTTGGGGCTCCTTGGAGGACGAGCTGTGGGTTCCTACGACTATGGGTATTGATCAAAATTAAAACCAGGGGACCGCAGGTTTCAGTTTTTGTTTTCATTTACGAGGGTTCCATTTTGGGTACCTATTTTTGACCCACACCCATATGAGTCATGCTGTCAGATCTCAGAATTTCCAGCATATGCTACATTTTGGGAGGGACATGGGGACGAACTCAGAAAAAGGGGACTCCCAAACTATATATCCAGCAGCCCGTCCAGTTTCCCCTCTAGTAGGTCACCCGTTCTCCATCCAAGGGGGGAAAAACAAGACCAGAGGTACGGATCCTTTTTCGGGCGACCGAAAAAGTGGCGAGCCCCCGATCCAAAACACTGGGTCATTTCCCCCCCCCCCCCCCCGCGAGGTTGCGCCGGGGCAAAAGGAGTTCTCCCCTCAGGGCCGCGACTTGGCAGAAGGGGCGAAGCTTTGTGAGGGTGGCCCCAGGGTGGAACGTTTCCGGAGCCAAAACGAAGAAGGAGCCCGAAAAGGAGCCCGAAACTCAGTGACCCGCCTTCCCGACCAAAACGGGATGCCCTTCGCGATCTGTGTCATCTTGGTGTTGAGTTTGTTGGTTGTGGGTGGCAGAAAACCATTGGCTGGCTAGGGGAATCCGCCGGGGATTCCAATAGATCTGAGGGAATTGTTGCCCGCCTTGGCCCAGCTTTGGCCCAGCTGAGTACGCAGCGTCGATGGTTCGACTGCAAAAGAAGCAGAGCTGGTCAAGTGGCGATTGAGGAATGGACAGGTTCTGGCGTCGTTGGACCAATTGATGTCATGCGCCCCGAGGCAAGGGCAAGGCGATGCATAGGACCGGGAGTGAGTCATGGAGCCGCTGGTCAGACAGGGCGGGGTGGGCTGGGTGGGCCTTACTTGGGCAGATGGACTGGTGGCCCCGCGGGCTGGGCTTGAGGCTAGTCTCAGACACGTCAGACAGGCCTTGGCCACGTCGCTGGGTCGCCTCTTGTGATACCAACGGACTCCCCTTCAAAGTCGGAGGAAGGGGGGGAGGGGTTTTGGGGCCCACATTTTTATTTCTTACTAAAAGATCAGATGAGCCATAGAGCTCAGGGAGCATTCCAACCCATAGCACTTTGAATCCTAGGTTCGCGGTAGATTTGGCTTTCTTTCATCCCCACTATGAATAGACCTTCTTGAGGCACAAAGCCTTAAGCCTTTTTTGGCCAACCACCATTAGTTTGCTGGCTGTAACTGCTGCATCCCGTCCAAATTGAGACCTTGGAGTCCCCGAAGCCAACTTCGTTTGGCACAGGAGCTTGGCCGGTTTTCCCCTCGCCGTCGGTGCTGTGGCCCGGGCGCGAGCCTCGGGCGAGCCCGGTGGTTCGGCGAGAGTGGAAACCGGTCCAGGGGTTGCGACCCCGGAGCACTGCTGACCCCATATTTATCAACCAACCAGTTTATTAAAATTGCAGATGTGTTGCCTTCCAAAAGTGATGAGTTAATCACCACCACTTTATTAATGGGGGGCATGTCCCTGGGTTTAGTAGGGAATCAGACCACTTTTGGAGGGGAACACCCCCTAATAAACTGGGGTTGATTACTCTGGGGTGCACTTTTTTGAATCCCTGGCCTGGGATTCAAAGCATTAAAAAACGGTTGGGTTACTATTACCAACATGGTCTACCTAAGGAGTGCCATGATCCAAATTGCGTCAAAGGTTCTTTTCAGGTGAACATTTGGGGCCTGCTTGATTTTGATTTGGGTCTTTTAGTGGGAATCCGGAGATGGCTCTTGGGTGAGCAGCCCCCATTAACACGGACGGGTTTATGAATCCGGGTGAACATTAAGGAACACTCACAACCATCTGTGCTGTGAGATTTTCTTAGGTAGACCACTTTTTGTCGCCAGGCTTGGAGTGTGATTCTATTCTTCCGTTGCTGAAATGAAGATTTGTTATGTTCCACCGTTGGATTGAAAGGGAATCTATGCCAACTGGACATATTTTATCATCTTTTCCAGGGGATGGACAAGCAAATGGAGGTATTTGAGGCAAGCTGGAATTGATCAAAAAGGAGTCACTGATGACTGTTGAGTACCAGAACGCTTCAACCACGAGGGACGAGCCCCCATTTTCCCATGTCCTTCAGGGAAAAAATTATATAGTTTGTGGGTGACATTGGGAGTCCAGTGCTGTATCCAAATTGAGGACCCCACGCTGTGTGCATTAAAGGAAGCCAACGGCTTACAACAACGAGTCCATGTCTCAGATGCAACATTGGAAGTGACGGAAAAAAAGGAAGCGAGAGGATTGCGCACTATACGTCTAGCATCCTGTTTCGACCGGCGCGCCAGGGCACACGTCCAGTTCGCAGTGATTGAGCCCGGGCATCGACAGCTCTATGAGGCGTTATGTGTGACCAGCCAAGAAGAGAGACATGGCTGTTGAGTGAATGATGTTGAGATGAATGAAGGAAGAGATGAATGAAGTTGTGTGGAAGGGATAGAGAGGAAGAGAGTGGACATGTTGGTTGGAGAGAAATTGCTTCTTTCTGTGGCTTAGGGAATAGATGGGCGTTTGGGATGTGTCGGACGGTTGAAATCCTCGAGGCTTGAGGATACTTCGGCGGAGATCTGTGCGGATTTGGTCGCAGTTCCCACTGGTCGCAGGTGTTTGGCCCCCCCCCCCCTTTGTGTTTGCTGGCTTCACCTTTCGCTGACGAGCTGGGCGTGTCTTTTTGTTCAAAGACACAAGCAGTTGCGAGCGAAATCTCGCGCACCGCAGCACGCGGCTCGGGCGCTTCGTTCCTCACAGCATCCCTCCCGGCCATGGCGCTATGCCGGACCGGGTGCCGCGCTTGTCGGAGAACAGGCCAAACCGGGAGCGAAAGGTCCGCAAGCCGGCCACTTTTTTGGATCTGCCATCTCCAAGCCATTTTCAAGGTCAATCTCGAAACCCTGAAACCTTGAAGGAACCCCCAAAAAGAACGACCTGCAACTCTTGGACTTGGCTTTTCACACCTGAGCAAAGCTTTTCAGATGCAAAAGGGCCCCCAGAACCGCTTCACGTACTCGGAGGCTGAGCCCGCTCGGCCGCAGCTCCGTGGATCTGTGGCAGAGCCAGCGGAGCCGCGCCCCTTCCGTGGCCTCGGCGGCCTCGGCGGCCTCCGCGGCGCCGTCGGCGGCGCCGTCGGGCTCGGCGACTGTGGACAGGCGAGCTTTCGGACCGGACTTTGGGGCTCGGGGGTTCGTTGCTTCCACAAAACAGAGGGGCGGACCTCGGTTTTCCACGCACTTGACCTTGATGCAATCTCATGTTTCACACAACAATTTGGGGCGAACACAAGACTTGCAGCGCAGCCGCAGCCATCAGCCGCTGAAGCACCTCCGAAAGAAACTATTCAGATCCAAATGATCCCGCGCAGAGACAGCAAGACACCAAGACGCGTTCCCTTTCAATGAGAACCTTGTTGCACAATTCTCCATCCAGAGTGGTTCATTGGTCAGCGGAGTGGCATTGAGGAACATTCAGCCCGGGAAGTGGGAAGTTGCAGTTATGAGACGCACAAAACCGAAAAAAAACAAATCTGACCATTCGAGAACAGCAAAGGAACATTCTGCCTTCAGGGTTTTTCTCGCCCCTTGTACGGGTGACAGGGTGACAGGGGGGGGCGGGGTTTGGGGCGTGTGGGGATAGCCCGAAAGAGGTGGCCTTCCTGGGGGAATCCCCCGGAAGTTTTTTTGCCGTGAGCCGAGAAGACCACCTTGAAAATGAGAACGTGGTCATGGGAACGACCCAGTTTGGTTTCAGATCAAAAAAAAGCCATCTCCCTCAGGGGTCCGATGACTGTGGACCTTGGTCAGGCGAACCTTCTTTTCTAGTGCAAGATGGGCCAAAGGGGTGACAAAGTGCGGGCGATTCTTTTCATTCAGCCACTTTTGAAATTGCCCTTCGGTTCTTGGTGGGTTGAAGTTCCCGAACTGTCAGAAGTCAGCGCCTCTGAAGTCGCAACGCCTTGCAGCGCTGCTTTTGGTTTCCTCTGGCGCAGGCAGGGCGAGGATCATGGGGCGCAGAGGCTGAGGCAGAGCGGCTTTACGGTGGAGGCAGGGTGCCGGACTTCACGCCGGTTCACCAATCAAAAGGGAAAGGGGGTTCGCAAATTTGAGAGGCCCCCCCCCAAAAAAAACACATGCGGGTGGACTTAAACACTCTGTCATCAAGGTCTTCCCAGAAAAGATCCCGCAATATCCGGCGAGTGGCATAAATGCAAAGCCAAATTTGGTGACGGACCTGCAAAGACAACTTGAGTCACGCTGGGTGATCACCGCCTTAGAGTCCGCCGGAGAAACTGGTCGGTAGCGGGCTTTGGCTATGAGTTCGAGTGGGGGACATGCTCCAAAAGTCGGGTGGTGGGCATGATGACCCCCCCACTGCAAAAGGGTCCCCTGTTAAAGCTCACACCCACCTATCAGAGTGACTTGTCAAGAGGGGCGTGTGTTTTTTCCAGGCTACCTGTTCACCCTAGATTTCAAGGGCAACCCGCAATTCCATGGGGCTTTGCGACCTTCGGATGTATCTTGGGCTCCCCGCCATTTGTTGGGGGGCGTCTCCCCGTTCTCGGCCCCTTTTTTTTGGCTCTCCCATCTTCCGGTCTCCGCCTTTCTTTGGGCTCCCGGATTTTTTTTTGGGCTTCTCCAAAATTTTCTGGCCTCCCCTTTTTGGGGGAACCCCTCCGGTTCCCCCCCCCCCCCCCCGGGCTGCGGGAATTTTCCGGCGGCTCCCCGTTCTGAGGACCTGGTGGGGGCCGGCTACTCCCTGCCCGAGCTGCGGCGTGCTGGGTACTCCGCCGCGGAGCTGCGGAGCGGCTTCTCCACCAAGGCCGTGGCTTCCTTTGAGGGCGGAGGGGGGGGGCCTGTGGAGGGGGGGGGAGACCTCTTTTTTTTTTTGGATGGTTTTGCAGGGAATCCAGAAGGAAACCACTCGTTTTGGGGTTCCCCGATTGTGAGAGAGACCCATATTGTGTCTTTTGGATTGAACATCACCTTGGTTCGGGTAACCGTCCCCTTAACACCTCCAACCAATCCTCCAAAATCTTGAAAGCCAGAAGGCACCTTTTCTGCCTGTAGCCGCTTGGTCCTGTCGGGCTTGGGACCCAAAACGGCGCTGGGGTCCAACTCGAGGTGTCGCATTGGGGATTCTGGTCCAGCCGCTTTGCGGCCATCGCTTTCTTCCCGACGGGCATTTGGTGGTTAAACAGAAAAAAACGAGAACTTGGACTTCTCCAAATGGAGAGCCCCCAATGATAAGCCATGTTTAGAGTCCTTACCGTCAAACAGTTCCAGGGTGTAAAGCCTACTTCAAAACATGGAGATCCGTTGTTTGGTTGTTAAACAGATAGACAAGGATCTCTTTTGAGCGTTCACCAGAACTTGGGATTTCTCAAAATGGAGATTCGTTATTTTCTTTTTGCCTCAAGGGGAAACCATCAACTGCGCTTCGAAGGAGCTGCTGGCGTGCGGCTGCGGCCCCGAGGAGCTGCGAAGCGCCGGGGTCTCGTTGGCGCGGCTGCAGCACGCCGGCTTCTCCCCGCAGGCGCTGAGGCGCGCCGAACGTTCTGTGGGGCGCTTTCGAAGGTTCCCGAAAGAGTTCTCGATTTTCGGGGCCTTTGGCGGGCGGCTTTTGGGGCCTCTGGTGAAAACCCCCCCCCCCAGAACTCCGCGCGGCGTTTTTGGTGGCTTAAGGGTGCCAATTTTGGGGCGTTGGCAGTACCACTGCACTGGGGGAACCCCCCCCCCCCCCAAATCTCCGCGCGGTGTTTTGGTGGTTTTGAGGGTGCCCCGCTTTTTCATCCGATGTGAAGAGACATTGCGGGTGCCTCGGTTCGGCCTCGGTGGGCTCAGGTGTTCTTGTGTGGAAATATGGGACACACACACAAGCACGCCAAACCATCAGTTTGTTTTTTTTTGGGGGGGGGTTCTGGGGGGGAAATTTGGGACACGCACACAGACAGACACCACACCTGCGGTAGACCTGGCCTCAAAAAGAAATACCATCTCTTAAATAGGTTAAGGTTATGGAATCGGACTTTGATCACCCCGTAGGTCACTCCGCAGCCCAGAGTGGCAAACAGTTTGGGCTTGCACGGCGAGAAGTGACGCATTTGGAGTCGGGTAAAGAGGTGAAGAGTTGCTGGCGGGTTTTAAGGGACCCGGGGCCCGGGGTCTTGTTGGTGTGTCTTGCTTTGAGTGTATCCTGTTTGGTGTAGGGACACCAAAAAACACCACCACTTTTGAGGGATTGTCGAGTGAAGAAATCTCCTTTTTTCAAGGGGGAGCAGCCCCTTTCCGAACATAAAACCTGCAAGACAAGGACATGATGCTGAACCCCGTGGGGGGGAGCTTCATAACGGTGCACTGATTTTCTTTGGTTGCCCGTGGGGCAGGGGGGCTTTCCCTTACGTTCTCTTTCAAGCAACATCCCTCAAATCTGCTTAAATGCTCGAATTCCTGAAAACCCCTTACAGTTGGGCGAAGGTAAATGGCCCAACCCCCCCCCCCCCCGGGCCCCGCCCCCCCCCATTAGGGTGTTGGCTTCCCCCTTTTGTTTTTTTATGACCAAAACGCACCCACGGTATTCCCACCAAGTCAAACACCGACAAAAATGCTAACCAACACAACCACCCAATCTTCTAGTTGGCAAGTTGTTTTTTGAGCTTTTTTGCCTATCGATGTTTTTTCGGTTCCGGTTCATTCTCAGCGGGCCGCAAAAAAGAATAGCTGTAGGTCCCCCATCCAAACGTTTGAAGGGTCCAGCGGTCCAGCGGTCCAGCGCCTCCGCCCATCCCGCCTTGACGCGCGTTGCCGCGAGGGCCGCCGGGTTCGGCGCCGCGGAGCTCGCGGCGCAACTCCCGGCGCCGCAGCTGCTGGCGCTGGGCGTCCCTTTGGCGGAGCTGCGGCAGGCCAAGGTCCCGGCGGCGGCGCTGCGCCGGGCCGGGCTCGGCGCGCAGGACGGTCGTGGGGTGGGGGGGTGGGGTGGGGGACGAGGACGGGGGTGGGGGGGTGGGTGGGGGGCTTTTTCTGAGTTAGTGGCAATTTATATTTTTTGAGAAGGGGAAGAACCATGAGGAAAAATGGATTTCCCATTTTGGGGTAGCCTCAAAAGTAAGACAGACCCAGATGCAGGATGGTTCATGGGGGTGATCCCCTTGTTCCCTGTCAAGAGCCAGCAGGATGAGAGACCAGCAGTTGGAATTGGAGAGAGGGGTCGTAACACGAAGGGGACTGAGGGATAGAGGGAGAGAGGGAGAGAGGGAGAGAGGGATAAAGGGAGAGAGGGAGAGAGGCAGAGAGGGAGAGAGGGAGAGAGGGAGAGAGGGAGAGAGGGAGAGAGGGAGAGAACCCCTAGATCTTTTGATTCGAGGCTCCTTTTGCTGTGACGTAAGAAACACTACAAATAGGACGCCCCCCCCCAATCCCCACCCACCCTCCGCCCTCTTAGCTCCGCAAGGAGCTGTGCGCCGCGGGCTTCAGCTGCTCCGCGCTGATTGCCGCGGGCTTCGGGCTGCAGGACCTGGCGCGCACGGGGCGTCTGCTGGAGCTGCGTAAGCTGGGCCACGGCGCCAGGGCCCTGACCAAGGCGCCACCAACTCTTTGGTGCATTTTGCCAAGGGCTGTTTGGACTGAACAACTCCTTTGCCAACGAATTTGGGTTTTCCGTACCAAACCACGAAAAGTTAGCCACTTTTAGCAGGGGAGCAGAAAGCCACCGAGAACTTTCTCGCCGCCCGCCGGACCGAACCGATGGATTGGAGGGGTTGGAGGGGTTGGACCGGACGGGGGGATGAGATGGAGTTTTGGCCCAACTGAGCCACGTGCTCAAAACCGATTCGGGTAGATGAAGGTTAAGGGGCAGTCCCCTTGCCAAAGATAGTTGCGAATATAACCTTCTGAATTCATACCGGGGTTTGATTGTGACTCAACTTCCCCGCCAGACGCCCACGGGGTGAGGGAGTTTTGAAGGGGGGCGGTCCAAGGAAAGCCCGGGGGGGGGGGATCCCTAAGGCTTTGCAAGGAACGCTGAGGAAGGATTGCAGAACAAGACCGAGCTTGAAAGCGCTTGTCATAGCGTTTCGCCACTACAGCAAGTAACTTGCCCAGTGCTTCCTTCTGGCGTTCTTTTCACAGTAGGTGGCCCTTCGGTGTTTTTACTGCACGGGTTGGATGGCTTCCCCCAATCACCTACAAAAATTGCGAAACGCCTGGAAGCACTGGGTTTCAAGGGAAACCAAAAGAACAACCCTGCAATGGATCCTAATTGAGACCCCCACTCGCTCTCAGGGCTTTTTCTTCAGCCAACGTGGGTGTGTGGTTTTGTTGAGCGTAATTGCCCTTTTCGTTGGTTCAAAGGTACCATGATTTTTGTGGTCCTATTTCAACATATACCCATGCGGTCCTATTTTAACATAGTTTCCATGTTCCTTCACTTTCATCTTCGGAGGTTGGGGACAGTCTCAAGCGGAAGCAGCCGCTTTGTTGGTTCAGATGGTTTGTGGAAGGCCCGGTTTTGCCTTGCCAGGTTGGCTTCTCTTTGGAGGACCTTAGGAATGCAGGCTTCGCGGTCAAGGACCGGTGGTTCATGCATGGTGTCGCACGCATTGTTGGGAGAGAAGGCGAATTGGACAATTTGCAGGCAACCTTGGCCAAAGCGAGACTCCGCCTCTGTGTCAGCCACAGAATTAGTATCCGGAGAATGGCAATACGGAATAAAAATCGATCGGGGCGAAGCAACTTGCACTTTGACACCATCCAAGCAAAATCTCTGGCTCCAGCTTTGGCCCCGTTCACTTGTGGCGCGCCCTGTCTTGGCCTTGTTTTTTTGAAAGACACCCCCACCTACTTCTACAGGTTGCTCCCCCACATGAGCTCACATGGGCAAAATTAGTTGATGGATGAAACTCTAAGATCACCTACCCATCGGTGCGAAGTGGGTTTAATTTGGTCTATCCGCAGTACCCGGGATGACATTTTGCAGACGTGGGCCAGTATTGCCCTCAATGTAAACATATGGGCTTGTCTTTTTTGAGTTGTTTTTTGTTGTTGGGGGAGGGTCAAAGGGCAGCAACATGTTTTTTTTTTGAGTTTTTTTTTTTTTGGGGGGGGAGGGGGGGGGAGCGGGGTTTCAAAGAGCAGCAACTGGGGAAAAAACATAACATTTTGGCGGGGTCCCCTAAAAAAAACAACACCACCCATCTCGGGCGCTTTTTGCAAGAGCCAATTCCCAAAAAGCTGAGCTGCAGCCTTTGGGGACAGGTGAAGCCCTGCTGCAAAGAGGGTGTTTCCAACCAACGCCATTGGACATGACACGGTAGCCTGGGAAAAGGGGAGTAACTTGAAACTTTTTCCGGGAAGACCAAGTGATAAGATACGAGCTTGGACTTGTTTGGCCGATCCGCTCGTTCGGAAGAGAGACCTCCATGATTGTTGGAAAGAGGGTTTTTGTTGCTGGTGCTCAGTAGGGAATGAGGGAATGACCATGACCCCTATAAGCCATCCGTGGACCCGTGCGTTCATTTGGGCGTAGCTCAACAAATGGTACCCAAAATTGCATCTTGGTAAATGGAACCAAAGACTAGAAACTGCGTAACCCTAGATCTTTGTTTTTGAGCCACACCCATTTGAACACCAGCAAGTTTTTGGTGTCTCGAGCCTCAGGAGCTTCAAGACGCGTTTCCGCTGAAGGCCCTACGGGGCCTGGTGCCCCTCTGCTCACTGCGCCCAATGGGGGCCTCCAAGTTGCGCAGCGCTGGATTCGGCGCGTGGGAGCTGAGGACGCGCTCGAGTTTTTGGCCCGTTTCTGCTTTTTTTTCTTTTTCTTTTTTTCAGGGGGGCGGGGCCCGTTCCTGCTTGGTTTTTTCCTTTTTTCTTTGTCTTTTCTTTTTGGTGGCGGGGGCCGGGGTTAAACCAAAAGGAAACTCAGCCATTTTGGGGCTCCTATTTTGAGACAAACAGGGTTCTTTTGGGGGGAGGGGGCAAGGGGGTGAGGCAGAACTCGCCGGCTGAGACCCTGGTTCATTCCCAACGCCTGCATGACCCCCCTTGGATGGGGGGTGAAAGGAATTCCCGAGTTGAAACCATTGTTGGTATTTACAGGGGGAATCACCTCATTCCGTCGGGTTTATCTTCCGGTGAAATCCCAAAATTTGGATGTCGCAACCCTCCGTCGGGCTTCGGACTCCAAAGGACGGGGGGCTTTGCCGCTTGGCTGCTGAGCGAGGCCGGCTTTTCTCTGCGGCAGCTTAAGGAGGCGGGCTACTGCCTCAAGGACCGTTTGGGGGGACCGATGGTTTTGGGACCCGCTTGGACGGGTGGCTCGTCTTTTTTTTAGACCCGCCAACACCCTCAAGGTGGGTTTTCCCTTTGGTTTCCAGCACATAGCCACTGACAAAAGGGTACCCCTCCAAAAAGACAACCAAACATGGGGAGAAACGGGCCGTTTTAAGAGGATTCGGGTAGGAACCAAACAGCAACCAAATCACTTGTGTGGATTTGGCGAAGGATTTTAATGGCTGCAAGGGTGTCTTTTTGGTTCGGCTCTCAAACATAAAGATAAACAGCCAAAAGGGAGGTAAAGTCGGACAATTTTGGTGGACGCAAGTCAACGAAACGGTAGGTCGATGTGTGGTGGACAAATTTTGCTGGTTGGAGAAAACTCGAAAATGGTCGGCGGACACAAGTCAACCATCTTCTCGCTATGGACCAAGTTGAGCATTAAAAGCACACTGTATAGCATTCAAAGCATTCAAGCATTCAAAGCATTCAAGCATTCAAAGCGTTCAACGCAGACAGGAGACAACACAACTTCTTTGGACCACACGCCAGTCCACACACCAACCGTGCAGCATGCGTGCTCAAGCTCGCGCGCACGCGTGAGCTCAGAATGGAGAAATAAACAATTAAAGTCGCCCTGCAGTACCTCAGAGTGCCCGCCAAACATTTCAAGTTTGTTCCAACCAGGAAGAAATCATCCACCACACGTCGACCCACCTTTTCGCTGACTTGTGTCCGCCAACCATTTTCAAGTTTGTTCAAACCAGACAATTCGTCCACGACACATCGGCCTACCTTTTGGCTACTTGTGTCAACCAACCATTTTCAAGTTTGCTCCAAACAGTCAAGTTCGTCCACCACACATCGACCTACCTGTTGGTTGACTTGTGTCCAGCAACCATTTTCGAGTTTGTTCCATCCTGTAAAAATCGTCCACCACACATCGACCTTCCCTTTGGTTGAGTTGTGTCCGCCCACCATTTCAAGTTTGTTTCAACCAGTAAAATCGTCCACCTTCGACCTACCTTTTGGTTGGCTTGTGTCCACCAACAATATTTGAGTTTGTTCCAACCAGGAAACATCGTCCACCACACATCGATCTACCTTTTGGTTGACTTGTCGAGCAACCAGTCTCGAGTTAGTAAAATTCGTCCAGAAGTACGGTCTTTTAGTGCGGGACCCCAAGATACATGTATGTGCCATATGATTTGCTTTGAGCATCAAACAACAAAAAACCAACCTGAGCGTTCTTGTCTCAATTGCATGTAGGCGACACTTCCTTTTTTGCTAGGAAGTGCAACCTTTCCAACATTTTCTCCGGTTCTTCCTTGCAACTTCTTACGAGATCCGCAGAGTTGAATATGGAGAAGGCTACCCAAAGCAAACATTTTACCATGGGAAACGGCACTTTGTTGCACATTGAAATTAACAATTCGCCGCATGGGTTTTCACCGTTTTCTCGTACAGGTCTGCTTCCGCAAAGTGTTTGACGGCCAATCGCAGGCTAGTCCTGGCGCCATGAACCAGTCTGCGTGCAAGAGATACCGGAACCCAAGCAAAAGAAGGCAGCATGAAGCAATCGTTCCCATCATGCCCCCCCCCCCCCCCCGATACAAGAAAGGGGCGCGGCGCCGAAAACATGCCCAGGTAAGCTTGTCTCAAATATTCGGGTGCCCACCGCCAAATGACTGAAACTTGGGCGGTCTTTTGTCCTTTCGGTCCGCCTCTGAAACCGTACCCAAAGAGCATTTCCCGCCCAACATTGCTCCACTCGAGTGAAGCAGGGCATGGGCACGTCCATCTAAGACATCTGGACAGCGGTTGTTTCATGCGTTTGCCGATTTCTTTGTTTTTGTTGCCTCTCTCTCTCTCTCTCTCTCTCTCTCTCTCTCTTTTTCTTTCCTTTGGTGGCTTTTTGGATGTTCTTTGCATTTGGTTTTCGCTCCACCCGGTTCCCGCTGGGCTTCGTTCCCGAGGACTTCCGGAACTCGGGGGTCTCTGCCTGGGGCCTGCTGGCCGCTGGCTTCTCCTTCCGCTCTTTGTTCCACGCAGGCGCCGGGGCGGCTGAAGACGCGCGCGGCAAAGACGGAAACGACGCCGTTTGTGCAGGAGGGTTAGGAAGCCGAAGGTGTTTGTTTTTTTTTTTTGTGCAGGAAGGTGCTTCAAGTGGAACTCGCAGCTGGCTGAAGGGACGGATCCCGTTTGGGAGCGGGACAGGGAGCATGCACCCGCAAAGGGTTGCAAAATGGGTGGTTTCCAATCACCAGCCAGAAATCGGGGTGTCTCTTTTTTTTGGGAGTTGGCACCTTTTTTCTGGGCTGGTTTGTAGGGAAACCAACAGCAGACCACCCCATGTTGGGCAGTTGAGGCTGTTTACGCAGTTGATATTATGGCGTCGGAGCTGGATGGCCCTGGCAAGGCTTCGACAGGGAGCATCTGGCACAGCTGGGGGCAACTCCGGAGGTGGGGGGGGGGGTTGGGGGGGGTGGGCTGGACCTGAGGTTCATTGAGGCGATTTTTTAGGTCGATTTGGGAACTCACAACCTTCTTTCCCACGACCCAGGGGAAAGAAAGTAGCGTGTCCTGCTCATGTCCATAGAGTCACAGAGGGTACTCCGCAAACTTCGACCAACATGCCAGATTCTTTCAATTGGCGCTTGCTGTACACGGTGAGTGGAAGCGGCTCTGGCTGTCCATTTCTCGAGTAATCCCAGGCAACACAGAAATCACGATAATCTAGGATTCCGCCCTTTAAAATGATACTTTGGGTGTGTCTTAGAATAAGGGTGCCGAAAAAAGTGTCGGTTTCCTTTCGGCTTCCCTTGAAAACCACTCCAAAATTGTACCCTCAAAAGACACGCCCACATGTGGGCCAGTTTTTCCTGTGTTTTCGGCCGATTTGGCCAGTAAAACTGTATCTCCGTATCTCTCACTGGCCCCTGCGAAAGACCTGTTGGTTTCCCCTTAATCCGCTTTTATAGGCCCCAAAGGATGAATGTTGACGGCCTCATAACCCCCTGTTTAGATTTATATGGGGTGGGGACCCCCCCTCCAAAGTGCTGAATCCCCCCCTAAAACCAGGCACGCCCCCATATCTCACCAGAAATATTGCCAGGGTCACGATTCAATGCCAACCTCGGATCAATCCGAACCCTAAACCCGAACCCCTTGTACTACTCGGGGGTTCAGTTGAAACGGTCGGGAGGGGCTGGAGCTTTCCGGGCTCCTCGGAGTGGGCTCCCAAGTCGGAAGCCGAAGCACACAGGCCCCCCAAGCCCCGTCAAAGGCCCAGCCCCATCAAAGGCCCCCCATCTTCGGCTTTTCGGGTCAAAAAGTGGGCAGAGAATCGATCAGCTTCGGCTTTTTTTTTGTTTTAGCTCCGCGCCAGGAAGTGGCCGGCCGCTCCGCGCACGCGCTCCGGGAAGCAGGGCATGTGCCCGAGACGCTGCTGGCCGGGGGCTTCGTGCTGGAAGATCTCAGGACGAGGGGGAGAGCGGACACGGGTGATATGGTGAACCATTTTGTGGCGGAGGAACCGCCATGGAATTGATACTCATTTTGAGGTTCACCAGAAATACCAGGGCTTTGACCCACAGCCAAATCATACTGTGGACATGGGTGTCCTTTTTAGGTTAGTTTGGTTAAAACATAGAAGGGTTCCACTGGTTTAGATGGGCTTGATTCCATTTACCAGGGCCATCTATTTTTCTTAAAGGACACCTATGACTGTGGATGGTTGCGAATTCCATTTCGCACCGCCTACGCCCAACGGAATGAGTCGATTCAATGTAAATACCAACCAAGAAAGGGATTTCAACACCATGGCTTTAAAGTGGTGCAGGATTTCGTCCATCCACAGGTGTCCTTTGTGGTTTGCTTGGACACCTGGATGAATAAACCAGGTAAACCAGGGCCATCTACATGTTCAACCAAACCAACCAAGAAGGAATGCTTATGAGCCAGATGTCTCCGAGCGAAGAAAAATAAGGTTTGCCACACCGAACACCCTAAACAGATATTCTCAGTTGACCAATGCAGATCGACCTGATTGACCCACTTTGGGTTCCCATGTTTAGTCCTGGTCCCAGAAGGCTTCCGGCTTAGCTCTTCAACTCCTTCCCTGAGTTCCTGGACTGGCAAGGAAAAGTCGATCTGTTGTTGCCTTTTGGAGCGCGCGCGCATTTGTTGTTTTTTTTTTTGGGGGGGGGGCGCATTGAGGATTTTGATTACGCGCTGAGCCTCGATGAGTACCTTCGAGACTCGTGGTTTCTTGCATTCAGGTTCCACATAAGTTGGGCTACCTAACCTGGTGGCCTGCCGAAATCAAGAAACCTCCTGCGTTCAACCAAGCTGAACCTGGCCTAGCGACATCAACCAAGCTCAGTCTAGGGGTACCTTCTCCATTCTTTCCAGGCATCCTTCTTTCTAAAGAACCTCTGGAAAGAACGACGGTTGAAAATAATGGAAAAGGAATCAACCACTCAAACCAGACCAAACCGGCCCCCGGGCAAAAATCGATGGTTTTTTGGGGCTAACCTCAAACCTAGAGACATCAGCCAGATCAAAGCGGCCATGACATCGATGGATCCCAACCCGGGTCTCGGCTTGGCAGGCACGCGGGCTTCGGCGCCGAGAGCTTCCCCCGCGCCCAGCTGCGCAGCGGCGGCTTCGCCGCCGCGGAGCTCCGCGGCGGCGGCAAGGCAGCGCTGGGGGCGCGGCAGCTGCTGGCGAACGGCTTCCCGCTGGAGGCGCGAGCGAGCGATCTGCTCACGGCGCTTGTCTTTGAAGACATGGGCTGAAAGGTTGTGCCATAAAGCAGCACGGGTTTGAGCCAAGGGCCTTATTTTTTTTGAAGATCGGTTCGAAGGTTGTGGCACCAGGCTGGAACATACCCTTTCAGGATAAGCCCAAGAACAGGAGGTAAATAAGGCGAAGGGTTTGACGGTCAAAATGCTTCTTTGGGGGGCCAGGAGAATCTGTGAGTTGGGGAAGTTGCCGAGAAGGAATACGACACGTTTGGCCGACCCCGCTTCCGAGTGGCGCGTGGGCCAGTGGGGGCCACTCGCCGGCTGTGGGCAAGGATAGGTCTGTTTTGAGGGTCCCCCTTTTTGGATTGGTTTCAAAAGGAAACCAAAGGAAAACACTTCGCTAGCTTTAGGTTTTGCATGGTTCTTCGCTGCAAGCATTGTTGAATCGGCCAGTGCTTCCAGGCAAGGCGGTGTAGTAGGTAACCCTGCGGGATCCTTAGCTCTAGCTTTGTCTGATGGGGAAACCTAATGTTATCTAACATCGGTGGCGAAACGCCCATCGGAAGCACGGGGGGTAAGGGTAGCCTCCACCAATCTACTCAGGAAGTGAGTCGATCGAACTTTTTGCTGGCGGACCAGGCGGTACCCCTTTTTGTGGTTGTTTCAAATCAAGCCGCTAGAAAACCAGAACAGATGGGTGATGAGTGAAGTTGGGCGAGAGCATACTGTGGATGGAATTCAAATTCGCAGCAAGCAGTTGGCGGTGAATTATGACAGCATAGAGTTTGTTTCCAACTGGTGCAAGATTGTGTCCACCGGTTTTGCCCAACGCCGGAAGCCGCCAAGCTAGAGTTCTCCGACACTGACAGCGTTCATTGGCCAGCCCCGTGTCTGACCCCGTCCGGCTGAAGGGGGCGACCTTCCTGGTTCCGCTTTGGTGGCTGCTTTGGTTTTCGGCCTTGCAGGAGCTACGAGATGCCGGAATCACAGCCAAAGAATTGCGGGAGCTCTCCATTGCGGCAGCAGACCTGAAACTTGCACCAGCAGGCTAACATAGCCTGTTTTTTGCTTTGTGAGGCACACAACGTTCGTCAAATAGTTTTTTGAACATGCATCGGCCATTGAGTTAGCTGTCTGGTCCCTTTGCATTCCTGGTGCTCAGGAAAGCCGCCGGCTACTCCTGCTGGGACTTGAAACTTGCGGGCTTGTCCGCGGCCGAACTCCAAGAGGCCGGAACCAGCGGCATTGCAGTGTGTTTCCATTTGGTTTTGTTTGGGGGCCATTCTTCTTTTCGTCTTTTTTTTTTTTTGAGGGGGGGGGTTCGCTTGTTTTTTTGCGTTTGGGTGTTTTTTTTTTGGCGTTTGCGGATTTCCGGCTTTTGGCGGCTTTTGGCGGCTTTGCTTTGGCTGTCCACGCCCGCAGCATCAGCAGCGCCCATCCCAAGCCCAACCCCGAACGAACCCTGAAGAATCCAAAGCCCCCTAAGCCACAGCCAATACTCAACCCACCTTCAACCAAACCTAAACCCACCCGAAATTCACCCCGAAGAAACCCCACTCTGATCAAACCCACTAGCAATAAACGATCCCTAGACCAACTCTAAACCTGCCCTGAGCTACTCCACTCCAGAACCACGCCTAGCCAATTCCAAACTCACCCTAAACCAATCCCAAACCCGCATTAAGCAAGCACTAAACCCAAACCAACTTTAACTCTTCACCAAGCCCACCCTAAACCAATCCTAAACCCCAAATCCGCCCTTACGAATCCTTACAGAAACCTAAAACCAACCCTAAACCAACCTAAACCTACCCTAATCCCACCACAAAGCAGCCCCTACACAAGCCCTACTCCAACCCTAAACCCACACTGAACCAACCCCAAACCAATCCTAACCAGCGCTAACCCAGAAACCAACCAACTCTAAACCCTGCCTACACCAACCCTAAACAAACCCGCAAAACCCGATACCAACTGGAACCCCCCCATCCCGAAACCACCCTAAGCCTACCCTAAGCCTACCCTGAGCCTACCCTAAACCACCCCAAGCCCACCAAAACCCAACCACGGCCTAAACCAACTCTAAACCCACCCTAAACCAGCCCCAATCCACCCTAAGCCAGCCCTAAACAAACCCTAAGCAAGCTCTATACCAATTTTGCAGGAGAGCAGTTCGAAGGACAACATTTCACGAAAACAAACACCCGAACAGTTTGGGCGTGGTCATCACATTGTGACCGACACCAAACAGTTTGAACATGTTTTTGGCACCGAGACTGAGACCCCAGCGATTGAAGGTGACCTGATGATGTGTTTTTGAAGATTCGTTTGACACAGTCAACTTAAGCTGGTGCACTCTGAACAGTTCAAAGCTTTGCACTGCTTGAGGGAAATAACCATTTTGTTTGCGACCCTTTGTTTTCTTCGGATTTGGCCAACTCTGAAGTTGCAGATTCAAAAACGGATGTGGAGCTTTCTTACCCTCAAAGGCCTCCCAAGCTTCCAAGCGGACGCTAAGACCCTAGGCTGGCTTCGGCGCGCGGGCTCTGGGCTGTGCAGGCTTCAAAGCCGCGGCGATTGCGTCGTAGAGGTGGGTGGATCGGAAGGAACCGGTTGGAAGACATGGGTTGCCCCTCTGGAGACGAAGTAGGGTGGTTGAAGAAGTGGGTTTCGAGAACCCAGGCGGTTTCAATAAGTTTGGGTTATTCAATGGTTTTGGAAGAATGAATGGCTTAAAGGGGTTGACTCGAACCACCCTGAAGGTCACAGTCGCCAGATTCTGTGAATCCTTACTTGTGCGACATCTTTTGAGCTAGCGCGTCGCGGAGTGACCAGCGCACGCCTTCACACACACAATCTGGCTGGTCATGTGCCGTTGCACATCGACCTTAGCTTCTACTTTATGGGAACAAATCCGCTCGGCAGATCTGCCGAGCCCCACGGTTAGCGCGTATCTTTCCACTGCAGATTGCCAAGCAATCTTGCACACCTTGCTCGCCTGCAAAGTCCTGGCATGCCGCAAGGTTTGAAAAGTGAGTTAACGAATCAATGTCAAAAGTGCGCCCGACATCCCTACATGGTTGTAGTTGGGACATGTTACATTTTTGCTTACTGTGGTTTAGTGATTGAAATCCAAATCCACTTCACTGCTTTTATTTTTTACAGGCTCCCCAAACCCAACGTCAACCAAGCCTAGGGCTTTGGGCCATCACCTGTGATGAATGACAAAGGCACCCAACGTGCCCTGCACTCGTCGAAAAAAAAGAAGACCATCGGGGTGTTTCTAAGGGGTTTCTGAACTTGGTGGTTCCCAGCCACCCCCTTAGCTTTTTTGCTTGTTAGTTGGTTTAGTAGTTGGGTTTCCAAACTTCACCCACAAGTTCGTCACTTGTGGCAGATCAGAAACCGGACAGCTCAGCGGCAAACAAAAATCATCCCCCCCCACCCCCCCCCCCCCCCCCCCCCCCCGCCCCAAAAACAAGAAGGGCGATTTTTCGTTGGGGTTGGAAAAAAGGTTCCGATTTTGGGCAAGAGATCCAGCCGGGTTTTCGTCCTCTTGCGTGCCAGGACCTTCTGATGAGCGGCGCCCGGCAGGTGCTAGCGCCGCTAGCGCCTCGCCTTCCCGGGCGGTTGGACCTGCCTTTGAAGCGGTGCTGAACTACAAGGATCCAACGGCAAACCTCGTGTTTTTGAAAATACCCCCACTTTTTGATGGCTTTAAAGGGAACATGCTCTTTCTGCTTCTTTTTTTTTTTTTTTTTTTGGGGGGGGGGGGCAAAAAGGACACACACACACACACACACACACGCCAAAAAGGACACAGGTGTGTGTGTGTGTGTGTGTGTGTGTGTGTGTGTGTGTGTGTGTGTGTGTGTGTGTGTTTGAGTTGTTGAGGGTAGCTCCTTTTTTGGCTAGTTTAAAGGGAAGCCGCAGTTTTGATCCATACTCATTTCTGAAGGACTGTTTCTTGATGGCAACCAGTCTGTGGTGCTTTTGAAGGGAATGCCTCTTGATCATGCAGTATGAAGCACCGAGGTCGACTCAACATTTTACACGGGGCTTGTTTCGGGCACCGCTTTGCATCAGGTAAACGTGCCAACGCATCCTCCCTGCAATGCAGGCGTGCCGGGGTGCGCCTAACCTGCTTTCGCATTGAACCACAGTGCTATAGTCTCTGTTGATAGGCTTAAATATTGGGGGCACCTACCCTTCGATCAGAGGAAAGAACTTATTTGGTTGTGAGGCAGCTGTGCCTCGTCCATGCCAGCTGTATACAGTCATTCCCGGGGACCTTTTTGTAGAAATGCACTCCATGTCGCCCTTGGTCTAAATCTTGCCTTTGATTGACTGAGCTCTACCCAAAAACCCTGGCCGACAGACAAACAGCCGGAGAGTGCCACCGACTTTAGGCAAGCGTGGTTCATTTGACCGTTGAATCCCGTGCAGGCGAGCGATACCTCCCAGAGAGGCGCGGTAGTAAGGCAAAAAAACGGGCTCGGCGGAAGCGCAGGTCCCTTGATTCGGATTGAGACGGTTTCGCCATGATCTGCGACCTGCCTACAAGCTGGCTAGCTGATAGCCCCAATGATTCCATGGCTTGCTGACCTGGCAAACGAAGCTATTTGCGGAGGCCGTGAAAAAGGTGTCCTCGAATTTAGGTTTGTCTCAAGAACAGGGGAACCCTCCAAACAGGTAGTTGTCTTTTTGTTTCCCTCTGAACCAACCTCCAAACGGGTGCGCCTCAAACTGCGGTTCCTTCCGCGTCCCTTCCGCGCCCCTTGAGGTTTTCGGTTTCTTGGGGGTTAGTGGGGGGATGTCTTCTTCGCCCACCAAAAGTTGAACGTTGAGATCAGACCACGGGTCAGCCCACGAAGCGGGCCGGGGCCGCGCTGGAGTCCGCATCCTGCAGGTATCGATTGAACTCCATGGCGGCGGTGATGCAGCTCGAAGACCTGGAAGAGGCGCACGACGTTTTTTTTTTTTTGGCCCTGGTGGATTTTTGGCGACGGGTTTTTGGTGGATTTACATAGTTCAGGCCCTGGTTTACCTGGTGGTTCAATCAACAACCAGGGCCATCCTATGTTCTCAAAAAGGACACCTATGGGCACGACGACTTGTTTTTGGGGGACGACGCATCTTGGACGGGGCTCATTGTACATTGCAGACTGTCGCTATCGACGGTTGGCCGCGAAGTGCAAGGACCACCTCTAAGGAGGCACCCACACACCACCTGAACAGGAAGATTCCATGTCGCATCTAGACCGACTCGCCCACCCTCCACAACGCCCCTCCTCCTCAATGTCATTCCACTGAGTGTAGACCCTCAACCGCTCGATCCAAGTCGCCTTAAAAGGAGCATTCTTTTGGTAGTAATGATGACGCCAGAGAAGCTGGGGCAGCGGTGTGTGTGTGTGTGTGTGTGTGTGTTTTTTTTTCTTTTTCCGGTGAGTGTGTGTGTGTGTGTGTGTGGGGTTTGTGTGTGTGTGTGTTGCCTGCGTTCCTGCGTGCGTGTGTGGACAGAAACAGACATTTGGACTTCGGCGCCCAGTTGGGACTTGCGCTTTGTCCCATTATACCATCCAAGTCGGGCACAAGCCATCTCCCACAGTATTGCTCTAGGGGGCTGTCTCAAAATGTTCAAAATTTGGGGACACTCAAATGTCGAAGGGCTTGATTTCCTTTTGCTTTCCCTACTCAAGTGTTGAATGGGCTTGATTTCCTTTGGCTTTCCCTTGAAAGAGGCTCAAAAATTGGGTGGGTAGAAGTTACCGAAGGATCCCTTCCAGCCGCACGAAACGGAGCGGCGGTTCGAACCGGGCGCGGGGGTTCGGTGTTCGAGGCGACGGAGCAGACGGAGGGCTTGGTGAAGCGGCTCCGCGGGAGTCGCGCGTTCGTTTGAGGCGGTGGGGCCGTTTGAGGCGACCGTTTGAGGGCACCCGGAAGTTGGCTGCAAGGGAAACCAGAAAGAAAACACGGCCGTTTGCGTCTGTGTGTGTGTGTGTGTTTTTCCCCCGCTTGCTGCTTGTAAAGGGGATCTATCGCTGGATGGGAAGCCCGCCACACACACACACACACATATGCACAAGCGTGCACAAATACGCCCTCTTATTGGTTCTGGCCCAGAAATGTGGGGTGTCTGTTGCGAGGGCGCCATTGTTGGGATGGTTTTTGAGGACCAGGAGGAGGGCACCCATGTTCTAACCACTTAGAGACAAACTCATATGAGCCGCGGTCAATATATCGTCACCAACTGACACTGGAATTTGTGCTTCGTGGGTGTATCCAGGCCATCGCCGAATCATTTGATTTCCATGACCCTCCCAGACATACCATAGAGTAGAATGCTTGACCGAACCCCACATAGACTGGAAGAACAAATGTGCTTTTTTCTTTTGGTTTCCCTGTACATAGTTGGTTGCGTTTTTTGGGACCCTGGTTTTCTCTTGGTTGCCCTTTAAAGCCACCAAAAAGAGGATCCTCAAACAAAAAGACGACAGACCCATTTTGTCCTTTGCTTTCCCCTTTTGGCTTCCCCCTCCCTGAAGAAAAAAAGGGTTGACCTTCCGGCTTTCTCTTTACACCAAGACGAGGCTATCCAATGGTTTCCTCTGGGTTTCCCTCCAAAATCAACGGCAAGGTCAAGATGGCTCCCCGTCTCGCAAAAGGAACCATGCGCGTTGAAAAAGGGGGCCCTTTTTGGTTGACGGTCTTTAGGCGAGGAAGCCCCAAGCGAAAATAAATTTGGTATGGGTCAAGAATCAACTGGGGAGCTCAAACAACTGGTGGGTTTCCTGTTGGTTTCCTCTCAAGCCCAAATCTTTCCCAGAATTAGCCCCCCTTTCTTATTTTTTGCTTTTTTTCTGTCCCCTTTGTTTTCCTCTAACCAGGCCTTTTCTTTTGTGCCGGGGGTCCTACTTCCGGCCAAGAAATGACGTTTTCGGGCGCCGAGCGGAGCGCGGAGCGCGGAGCGCCGAGGTACGTGGCGAAGCACCGGGTGGTGGGCCGCGCCAAGATCCAGCGGCTGCTGAACCCCTCAGCGCTCTTTGAGCTCGATGCGAAGCAGGACGGGGCGAAAATCATGAAGGAAGGTTCCCGTTTTTGTGTGTATGTGTGTGTGTGTGTGTCTGTTTTTACTAGGTTTATCAGCTAGGTGTTTTTTTTTTGCAATCTTTTTTGGGTTGTAGGTTGGACCCCAAAACTTAGGTTGGGCACCAAAATGGTGGGTTGTCTTTACTAGGTCCCCCAGCTAGGTGCCCTTCTTAACCACTTTTTGGGTGTGTCTGTTGTTAGGTTGGTCCCCCAGCTAGGTGCCCTTTCTCGTTCCCCTAGGCTGCCGAAAAAAGTTGGCTGCCCTTATTCTAGCCTCTCGACTGGACCTAGTTTGGACCCCAAAATGGTGGGTTGTCCTTATATTGAAAATCACCAAACAAGGCATATCCTCAAAAGACGACGACCCCCCCAATATAATTGTCGCCTTTTGGTTGGCGACATTTATTATGAGTTTCCTTTTGGGGTGATGTTTAAGGAGCCTGCGTGCTGATGAAGGCTTCCGTTTTTTCAGAAAAGGATTTGGGCAAATTGCAAGGGAGCTTGGAGCCCCTCAAAACGGTCAACCCTTCTTCAGCCGACCATTTGGGAATGGCCTTGGTTTAAAGGGAAGCCAAAAATGCCTGGAAAGAATTAAGAAAGGCTTGCACAAGAATGTGGAATCAACCGCTGCGATTTTTGTTTGCCGTCACCGAAAGAAAAAGAGGCACATCATGCCCGTCAACCGCTTTTCTTTGAGGGTAGGGATGGTTTTGGATAGGGAACTAAGGGACGGTTTCTCAAATGGACCCTTTTGGGTTGGAGGGAAGCTCCCCCCATTTTTACTCCCCTTATTCACGAAAGCCAGCTTTAGTTGGCTGAAGTTTCTCCTTGCGTAAGCAAGGTAAGGGGCTGAAAAGCAGAAAGAATGAGGATCAAATATTTAGACACCCCCCCCCCTTCCCGGGCTCGAATCCCCCTGCTCCACCCTCCCCCTCTCAAGGGTTGACTTGGACCCAGAAACACATTTGCTGGGAATCCGGTCTGCGTGGTCTTCCTCAATCTTCTCAGGAAGGTACCTTGCAGGAAGCTGTGCGCAAGCAACATGCAGAACCCAGACATGCTGTAAGACGGCATGAGACACCTTCTCGTTATTCTTATTTTTCACGGTTTGCCGGGCCACCATGTCAGTTTGCGTGTAGCCTCTTGAGGATCTTTGCGGCGCCTCTCATGGCGCGCAAGCAACCTTTGGAATCTATTCTGTTTCCGACCCGTCTCACAACAGTTGCTAGCTTTCGTTCACCCCTTCCTCAAGTGAGACACCTCCTGTTGAGTTTAGTCCACGAGTCAGACGTTTGGATGCGCAGAGTTGTGCAGGAAAAGGTTGGCTACCTCAAGGTCGAGGCAGACATCTTGCCCGCAGCTTGCCATCAATTTAAGCGGGCCTTACAATCCAGCTCAATCTGCAAGCCTAAAAACACATGGCTGTCGGTCAAAAATATGTACCCAAAATGGAATTATGGTACATGGACACTTGATTTAGAACCCGCGGTTTCCTGGTGGTTTAATTTTGACCCACACCCACCTCCTTTTTCGATGAATCTCCTTTTGTGGCCTGCCTTCTTCGGGTTTCACTTCTTCAGGGGAGCGCCTTTGATTCCAGCGCAGTCTCAATCAACACATCTCAGGATGAGGATCCACAGCAGCCTCTTCCTCCGCAGACGGTTGATGCGCTGCTGGACTCGAACTGCGAAGGGCGTGCGCCGTAAAAAACAAATCGGGGGTCTCGGGCAGGTAGTTTAAGGTAGACCTGAGCATTGGCAAGGGTGTGACAAGCTTTCAGCTGGGTGTGTCTTTCTTGAGGGTGCCCTCTTTGGGTCGTTTTACTGGCCGGGTTTCAGGGACGGATCGCACACGAGCCTGCCGACATGGACCATTTGCCCGCTGACCAACGGATTTTAAGCGACAGTCCTTGAGCCCTCCAGGGCGAAATCGAGGCCGCGTTTGAGCTTTGAGGTGCCTGTGGGGATCATGTCATGTGTCAAAATAGAAACCTCCGGCACCTCCCCCCCCCAAAAAAAAGAGAAACGCACACAAAAATGGTGGGTTTTCCTTCTGGTTTCCCTTTCAGATGTGAGTGGCACAGGTACCGAGCCACACAAACATCGGCCATCGCCGCCGAGGCTCTCGAATCTCTGGGAGGAGCTGCGGGTCCTCTCTGTGGAGTTGTCCGAGCCTAGGCCCATCGGCTCGGTGTGCGCTTTGATGAGACAAGAGGTTGAAATCTAGGGCTTTGCTTGACATATGCTGACTTCCTGAGTTCATGAGCTTTAATCTTTTTGGGAAGACCATTTTAGTGGTAAATATAAAGTTTGGACTTTTTATGGGCCATCCACTCAGCCAGTGAGTATGCACCCTCCCACCAATTCACATGGAACCTGCCAGGGAGATGGTCCCCTTCAAACGGAACGTTGTGCGTGTGGGCAACTGGATCTTTTGTTTTGAGCATGCGAATGAGTTCGAGGAATGCTTGTCTGGCAGCATGGGCACCATCCCTAGCAGATTGTGCGCCAAATGGGGGTGGTCACAAGGTGGTGCGCTCAGAAAAGCATAGAGCTTGGCACGCCAGCACCTTTCGAGGCCAGGGGAAACAAGAAAGCCGTACCCCAAAAACAATTAACCTCAGAAGTGAAATATGTCCATGTGGGGTGCCAAGCCGTTTCTTTTTTTTGGGGGGGGGGGAGGGATGATCTTTCCACCAATAGGAAATCCCGCATTCGTGGGTCCCCTATTTTGACATTGGTGCGCCATGGTGTGTCCTTTTTTGAGGGTACACTTGTTGCATGGCTTTACGAGGACACCTAAGCCGGAAAGCCACCCATGGGGCTGGCTGGAATTCCATTCCGAAAATAGCGCCGCCCCTGCGAAACCAATCGGAACCCTTTGAAACAACCTCCACACCAGAAAACCAATCCGCCAACTTCACCGAGCCAAGTCCGGCTCTCCTAAAATGTATCCTTCTGGCTTGCCTTTAAAGACCAATCCCAGTCGGATTCCTACTATAGGGAACGGGATTCAAAAACCTGTTGGTTTGAAACCATCATGGCTGGTTTCCCCTTCCCCAAAGCTGGCAAGCCGCCTCTTGAAGTTGCCCAACAACAAAAACATGGTGCGTTTTTTGCGCCAACACCAAAGCTTTACCGCCAGGTGGCAAGAACTCAGACACGCCCCGGTTTTTTCACGGCCCCACGCCTTGCCTTTTGCGGCTTGCGCAGTCTGGAGCCGCACGCCGCGGTGCAGATTGCGCGCTGCCCTGCCTGGCGCTTGGTGGAAAGCGCCTGGGCGAGAAATGGGCCGGGGGGTTGAGGGGTTGCGGCGAAGAGTTTCACAAGGTGGAACTGTATTCTTTTGGGCTTGAAGTTTTTGAACATGGAGACCCTTTTTGGTGGACATCAAATTTTGTTTGGGTGGGGATTCATGTGCACCGGTGACTTTTCAGAGGGTTCCCCTCGAACAGTTCATGACCGAGGTCAAAACCATACGAGGGGAGCGGTGGGGACAGCCGCATGGGGGCCAAATCCGGCCGCTCATTCTCCAAAAACGGCTTTGGGTAGACTCTTTGAGTAGGTGAACTTGGTTGTGAGTATGACCCACGAGGCTTGTGCAGCCAGCTTCAGGCTTTCACACCAGCCCCGGCTCTCAATGAAACACAGAGTACATTGACATGTTAAGTAGACCATCTAATATATATATATATATGTTGCATGTTCTTACATATACAATTAATATATATATATATATATAGATACACATATATATATATATATATATACACACATGTACATATATATATATATATATATACACACACATGTACATAGATGATTGTATGTATAATCTTGCTAGCAGGCTGCGATCCTCTAAGGTTGGTACAGGATGCGAATGAAAGTCCAGGCGCACCGGGAGCACGCGCGCGTGGGAACAGACCCTTGGCAGCACGAAGGCGATTTGGGAGGTCCGGGCTGGGTATGTCCTGTTTGGAGGGTTGCTCTATGGGGAAGGCCCAAGGGAGAACCTTCCCATTTTCGGATTTTTGGAGGTCTCCGATTTTCAGCCGCAACCAAACGCTGGCTTGACGACTGCAGCCCTTAGGAACGTGCTCCGCTTCAGAAGCCAGGGCGTGTCATTTTTTTGGGACCCCCCCAAAGTGGGGGGTTCCTTCATTTCTTTCCCCTAAAGCCACCAAAAGGGGTTACCCTCAACAAAGTGTTTTCTTGTTTTCTCGGGCAACATTTCGTCGTTGGAAACAGCGGGAGAGTTAGTCATGTTGGCTAAGAGAAAAACATGGCTTCTTATGGCCTTGTGGGCATAGGCGTCCTTTTGAGGTGATTCTGGCTAGAAATAGATGGCACTGGTTTAGGTTGGTTTGATTCCACTGACCAGGGAAACCCATCTATTTTCCCAAAAAGGACACCTATGCTTATGTGCTTATGGGGTTTCTCAGCTTGTCTCTCAACAGCGGTGTGGGTCCATGTCCTACATGCGTATAGCTTCCCAGCAAAGAAAGAAAACCGAGCACCATGTTGGGTTCGGGTCAAAAAAAATAACCACCAGGAATCCGGCTGCAGGTTTGAGTCTGTCCTTGCCGTTTGCCATGGCTTGATTTTGGCTGCCTGGTTTTGACCGTTCCGCACCCAGTTCCAGAAGCTTCCGTGAGAGTTGGCAAGAGCTTTGCACTTCCTCCGGCGGATAGAAATGCGCCGAACCCCAGATCCGACACCTCGCATGCAAAATCAGATCCGCGTATTCCAACGGATGCTCGCTGCATTGCCACAGAAAACGCGCGCACAGTGATGTTGTTTTTTTGTTGACATGGCATTGGGGCATATGGAAGCCATGCATTTGCCAAAGCCGAGGCAGTGAATGCATGGCTGCAGGCTGGAGCGAGGATGGGATTTTGTCTGAGCTTTCATTTTGCGGTGCCTTCAGTTGACAACTTTCACACCTCAGGAGTGACCGACTTTTTTTTGCAACCACTTCGCCAGTGCGCTGACCTGCTATCAGGCCGAAAAGAAGAAAGGCCGTGTGGGGAGAAGAGGGGGGTGCGGGGGATAAAGATGTTTGATATCATTTGGAGTTGAATGAGATCAATCTAGTTCTTTTGGCGATGAAGTTGCGCTGCCAAGTCAGCTTTGCCCCGTTCAACATGTGGTGAACTGTTCAATGATTGCATACCAAGTGGCGAACGCATTATTGAAAGGTTTCATGTAAAAATACTCTTGCCAGGTACGGAGTCGGCATTCACTCGCTTTGTCTATGACAGTTGCCATTTGTTTGTTGACAAGTCTGTATTTTTGTTGACCAAACTCTGAATGCCAATCACTGGACGACCAACCAGGAAATTCAGCTTGCCTCGTCCTCATACAGCTTCAGCAGCCTCAGCAAAAAAGCACGTTTGCAAACCATCAAATCGTGCTTTCCAGGCAGCCGTTTCTTTTCTTCCCCCTTTTTTTTTCTCCGCAGCTGGCAAATATAAGACCTCAGCCCTTTCCGCAATGGCGTTTGGTGGCAGTGGACTATGACAGAACCTTCCAGGATGGTGACCCCCCCAAACTGAAGCTGTTCTGGGAAAATGGGGGGGGGGGGGTATATATATATATATATGTATGTATTTGTAGTGGCCACTGACTGTATACTACAAGGTGTTTTCTTCTTCCGCAATTTTATGTGTGTTGGGGGTAGTGGTTTGGCGGGAAGTTGGGAGGCAATGGCATCACAGCGGCTGAAGCCTTGCAGCAGATGCCGCCACAACTCCTAGAGGCGGCTCGGATCGGGGAGCCCAGGGCTATCCGTTGAGAACTCACCCCGTGGGCAGCAAAGCCAAGAGACCCAATAAGAGACCCAACAAAGAGCCTTCGAGACACAACTTGGGGTGCAGTTTGGTCGGTGAGTATCCCGGTCCGTTCGGGAGGGAGAAACATGGACTGTCTCCCAGGTGGACTCTTTGCTCAACTTAACTTGGCTCACAAGCTTTCCAGCGCGATGTACGCCCAAATTGAACAGTCTCGACTGGATTTGTGCCAACAGAAAGGAGGCTACAGATGTGTCTTTTGTCCAGGGTGCCCTTTTTAAGGGTCTTGAGACAAATTATGCAAAGGGGATACCGCCCCGTGCGGGGTGTTTGGAGACAGCCCAAATACTAGACACGTTTATGTAACAGGCCCGCGGCTTTGCGCCCCGGTGAGCGTGGAGGGCCCGACTCACGTACACTCATGCCCCACATGAGCAATCCGTGCTCGCAGCCAAGTGGGGAGGGCCGTTGTCCAAAGGTTTGGGGGTCAACAGATCCCCTTTCCAGGCGCTAGATCAGCAGGGGCCCCAGTAGGCCAGATAGATTTTTTGCCCCCCGAGACCCGAGACTGAGAGGGGGTCTTGCAACTTGGCAGGTGGTCACTCGCTTGAACAGCGCTGAGCTCAGGTTTCAGTGCAACTGGCGGCTGGGAACTTGGACAAATGTCCAAGTGGCTCGTTGTGGAAGATCATTTGTCAGTAGGGACCCTTTGGGGTCCCGATCGCTTGCGAGGGGAGCCATGCAACATGGTTGCGGGAAATGAGGTAGGGCCAGTCTCTGTGGGCACCTGCTTCAGAGTGATAAAGTAGTCATGGGGATGAACCACGTTCGCACAATCAACATGGTTGAGATGGCCAGCGAAGTGTCAACGTTTGGCTTCACGAGCCCATGTTCCATACTATGTGACAAGACAAGGCTGCAGATTGGCAAATGGGTTTGTCAAGGGACACCAAAAGGAATCCGAAGCCCAGTTCCTTTGAGACAACCCCGGAAAAAAACAACAACAAACAAACAACAGCAACAACACGATGGGTTATATCCCAACTGTCCCAGTTGGTTTGGGGCTAGTTCCGAGACAGGCTTTTCCCTCCAGATCCCGCCAAACAACAGGCGCTCGGCACCGAAAAACTCTCGCTCGCTCGCAGGCCCGACCGGTCCCAAGTTCGAGACGGAGTTCTTCGACCCCTTTGCGAGGCGAGTGTTTTCTCTGTTGCAAAAGTGGTGCCCCGTTTTTTTTTCTTTCCCTTTTTCTTTTGGGTAAGGATTTCTTTGTAGACTCGACCTGCAAAAAAGGATGTGTTTTTTTGTTCTTTTTTTCTCATGGCCGCTGGGATCTGAGTTTTGAAACAGCTCAGAGGCGGGACATTCGAACCTCGTGGTAATCTGCAGGACACCAGAGGACCCTCTGAAATAGAGCAGCAAGACTAACAGGGGGGACCGCCCCTCATAAGCACGCCCTGAGGATTAATCCGAAGTTGACGGGAAAGTGGCTAAATACCCAACCCAAACAAGGATTTCGTGTAAAAGCAAGGACTTCCAGTTGATGAATTGGAGAGGCTGAGGGAGCAGAACGGGCATGATCGTGAGTCGCGCAGTTCCAAAATTGCCCTCCCCACCGTGCCACCGCCAATCACAGTTTCCCCTTTGGGTTAGTTTAAACGTCCAATTTAGAGTGAGCCTTCTTTTGGGGTGATGTTGAAAGAGGAGATACAGAGCGCCCTGTGGGCAGTGCGGATACTCTCCTTCCGAATCGTTTGAAGCACAACGCACGCACAAAAGTTCGCGAGCGGCGCTGCAAGGCTTTTGGGTGCCAAGAGCGTCGAGGAAAGGGACAAGACGCTGGTGAAGATGGCGGAGGACGAAGTGACGCTCGTCAGAGTTGTTCAAGGGGAAATGAGCCACAATCTAAACCCGGGTAGATGAAGGTTAGTCCCAGCCCGCGTTCTTGATTCTTTACATGGTTCTAGGTAGACCATTTTAATACCGGGCTTTGATTGTGACTGAAATGTGAACAGCTTCGATGCAAAGCAATGCGTGCATCCAAAAGCTTGCTTTGATCCATGGGGGAAGTAGCATTCTGGGAATGTAGGCCGCTATATGTATCTATATATATATATATGGCACATTCTGCCATGTATATGTATATGTGTGTAGAGAGAGAGAGAGAGAGCGAGGCAGATTGTATCAATGTATATATGAGTGGCGTCTCGTATATATACATATATATATATATATATGTATATATATATATATATGTATATATATATATATATATATATACACACACATGCACATGTGGCAGGGGCTTCGCACATTTTGCAAATTGGGCACGATTTGATGCAGTCCGTGAAGCTCAGGAAAAGCGCGCGAGCACGGGTGTCAATCAGGAAACTCCTGGATTGACAGGCAAAGACGAGAGTAATTCGCTTGCCGCTTTCGACCGAGAGACTGTCGAGGCGTGTGTTGGCTTGCATGTTTTGTCCAAATGAATTCGCACCAGCCATTGCCTACCGGTCAGGGAGTGACTTCAAATTCTGGCGCGTCATGCCCGGCACTGGAAAGGTGATGGTGGCCCCCCCATTTGTGGGTCGTTCCTCCTGCATTGCGGCCATGTCGTGCGGATTGAGCAAAACTCATACTCACCGAAAGCGCATGTCGGCATAACACCTTTAAGTGCTTGCCTATATGATTTCAGTGTTGTACGAGAGCGAGCCCGTTTCTGCACATTGTTGGGTGTTGTGTTGGCCTGGAGCAAAACATATGTGGCACGCTCTCGTCAAAAATCAGTGGCACTTGACAGATTTATAAACTTCCCCTTTGACAGAGTCCAGCCAGCTGTTGCCCATCCTGCACACCATGGCCCCGCACTTGCGGGAAATCCCGTGATTTCCAAGGCTGCCAGGTTGACATGAACACTGGGCGCAGACGCTGTTTTCCTTGCACGAAGTTATTTTGCATCCTTTGGCCAGCTGAATCTGTGGCACAGAATGGTCTGTCGACCAGGCCAGCCAGGAGGTTTGAAGCCCCCTGGCTCGCCAGCCTTGTAATTGATCAAGTTTCGGGTCGGGCTCCGGCCTCAGATCTTGCAAAGGCTATGTTTCAATTGCCAATGTCGGCACCAGGCCAGGCCGGCGGAGAGAGAATTCCTCTCAGGCGCAAACCGCAGCCGCTCCGGACCGGCCATGGATTGGGTTGGCGAATGCGGGAGCCAACCTGAATTCCTATGAATTCGAAGCCAGAGTCATACGACCGTGCAGCAAGCGTGGGGATATGGGTTGGCGCCCATGTCCTTTTCGCGCTGCGGTCGCAGGGATTCCACGCTGGGCAGTTGCAGGCTTGTCGTCTGCATGGCCTGGCTTTCTGGGGAACTGCGAGCTTTCTGTCATCTTCCACCCCGGAAAGTTCAGAAAAGGCCTTTGCCACAGGGGCCCCCTTACAGATTCAGATGGCCAATGGACACACGTTGGCCTTGATCTTTGAGGTCTTTTAAATCCGGGCTCGAAGCACAAGAATGCTGCTACGGATGGGACAACGCGCAACCCTTTGGCAGAGGCCTCGTGAGTCATGGTCAGTCGGCACTCGAGAGGCCAATCGGAGACCAAGGATTCGCTTACGTTCCGCGAGTTGAATCCGCTGAAATGACACTGGAGAAAGCGCGCGAGTGAGACAGGCTCCAAGCAAGCACTGTGCACGCTTGCACTGTAGCATCGGTGGTTTTCCTGCGGGCCTGTAGCCAAGGTGTGTGTGTGTGTGCCATGTGAGAGGGTGGCAAGCAACATGATGCCAGCCGGCCTTTTCTTTCCAACTGGACCAACTGGAGAAAGAGGTATTTGCAGAACACTGTTGGATTATGCAAGAAAGCATGGGTGTTCTTGGGCACGGTGCTTTTTTGGAGTGCTTTTTTTTCGGGCTTTGGGTGTTGCTTTGGGTCTGGCGTTGGTGCTGGCCTGGATTCAGCTAGTTTCGTTCATGTTGTTTTGAGGGTACCATGTTAGGGGTAGTTTAAGGAGAAGTCGCAAGCCCCACCGCCCAAAAAAGGGCGAACTATACTGTTTGACCTCTGCCTTTTTGGAAAGCATAGCCCCTCTGGTTGGTTCAAAACAACCACTCCCAAAGGCCAAGGATGTTTTTGCAAGTCCCTCTTTGGATCTGAGGCCGGCTCAGACCCGGCGCCGCGGTGAACTTGCTGGACTGGTCGACGCTTGGGTCCCAAAGTCCTGGGGCCCTAGGCCTCGGGGAAAGCCAAGCGGAGGATGGGGCATGGCCAGACTTCACTTTTTTTTTTTTTTTCTCGGAAAACCGTTTCATGTATGTTCCCTGGCACAAAGTGATCTTTTCGCAGGGGTCAAAGCGTGGTTGGGCCGGGGCTTGGGGAATCTCAAAACGAGCTTAGGGTACGAGCAGTGCAAACTCAAGGCTGCGACATTTGGAGACGTGATCCAGGGCGACTGCAGCCTTGAGTCTTCGAGAGAACTGCTTTTTCCATCTCACCAGAGCGAAGGATGTATGTGGCCATGGGCATAACCTATGGCGATCCCATTTTGGGGTGGATGAACATCCATATGCCACCTATTTTGATGTTCACCAGGGTTTTGACCACCACAGCCATTTGTGTCACGTTGGGAAGCAGTGACGCTGAGGTTCCGGACCTCCATCTTGAAGAGCCATGATGAGTTGCAGGCGAGGTGATGCTTGTCTGGTCTCTCATTGAGGCGCCAGGCTTCTTAGCCCAAGGTTTTTTGACTTGAACCCAGCACTGCGTGAAAGCTCTTGGATTGGGGATGGGGGGGATTGGGGAAGGGAGGTTTGGGTTTCGGATCGATCCGCCCGGCCCTGTGACCCGGATACATCGCCAGAAATCGGTGCGGCTCCCGAGCATTTTAATCCGATCCCAATGGTTTTGATGACTCAGCTGATCTAGGTAGAGGCTTCCCTTGTAAAGCAGGGGATTTTGGGATGAGCCCCGTGTTCCCGATGGGTTTTCATGGTCAGTGTGCGAGGAGCGAGTGAGAAAGCTCTACAAACTCTTTCGAAAGCGGCGCCAGAGCCCCAGTTGGCTAGAGCCGCGAAGGCTCGGGTTTTGGTTGCCCGGTTTCCCGAAAAGGGAGAGTCTCAAGAAGGTGCAGATACCTCATCGAATTCTGTGGGTTTGGGTAGTAATTCTTAGGATCGTCAGGTTTGAGGTGTCGCAGGTTTGTCAGGGCTCTTTAAAAGGATCTCATTTTGCAACCACTTGAAACATGGCTTTTTCCACCAAAAAATCAAGGGAAACCACCATTTACAAGGCAATGTTCAGGTGTATAATGTAAGGATCCCTGTTTAACTATGCCTAGATCATACACTTTTACCGACCAATGGTCCTGCAAACCGACCCCACAGCTTGCGACGTGTCCCGACCGCTACTAGCTTTGCTGAGGTGAACACGCAATTAATCACATCCTTGTCAATGGCAGGTGGACAATCAGGATTGCCAGTGTAGATACTTTTCAGTATACCATCGATTGAGATGCACTAGTTGTTGTCGCCATGAAGGGAAAACTAGCAGAAGCGCCGGGGACGTGGGGGAAGTGTTCAGACCTTGAACGGAGTTCCAGTCAAAACATTTTTTGACGGCAGCGTGGAGCCTGATGGAGGAGACACACCAAGCCAAGCAAGAAGCGAATGTTGAAAAGGCAAAAACACTTGCACAACAAATAAAAGGTTGCGAAAGACTGGACAGGACATGCTACTCAGACAGCTACAGTAGGCAGCCGCGCAAGGTTACAACTGGGATGGTCTGAAACCGGCAAGAATGGTTTCCGCCAAAACGTGCAAAGTTCAATGGAGGTGAACTCATACAATAGTCAGAATTCGCGATAGAGGCCGCCAAACTATTTTGCAGAAGCGCAATGGGCGCTGCCAATGCAAAACAATATTGTAGTAGCGTATGAAGGGACAGGGTTGTACACTGCGGACAACATTGCGACAGCCAGAAACTTCACTGTGGAAGAATTGAACAAGGTTATCTGCGCGGAAATCATGAACACAGCAAGACTCTCTGGTGCTCAGCAGGCAATGAGGTTTGGACTGACCATATAAACCATCCTTGTGGTTTCCTCAAAAGGGGACCCAGTTCATTCCCGCATTCCCTGCCTCTCACACCATTCTTGAAATATCCGACGACATTCTAGAGGAGGACACTTGCCCAGCTTGAAGCTCGTTGTGTCCCTTTACCAAAAAGGATCAGGCGCTACCAAAAGGCAAAAATAACCGTGGGCCTGCGCTCCTCCATGTTGTTTTAAAAACTCTTGGAGGTCTGATCAGAAAGAGGATTCAAACTCATGATGGGTGCAGGAGAGCCACTACGGATATGGATTGAGACCAAAGAAATCAGCAGCTCAAGCAGTGTGCGTGGCGCGCGGCGCGTCGACTTGTGGACATCTCACTTAGAACACAGGAACTAACCTCACTCTCACTTTCTCAGATTGGAAGGTGGCATCTGAGAAAGTGAGCTACACAAAGCTTCTTCAAGTCCTAAGGCGCCTTGCAGTGAATCGAAGACGCGTGCTAGCAAAGGGAAGTTATCAGAGGCATGGAATATATATATATATATATACACATATTATTATATATACTTTAGAGCCTCCGGCTCAGTCCGCCGACATTGTCCTCTCCCTTTTCTCCTTCTGCCTCTCTCCCTTGTCTCCCTTGTGTGTTCTGTCGTCCTCTCTCCCTCCCTCTGCTCCCCATCCTCCCCATCCCCCCAAGCCTCTCCATGCCCAGTCTCCCTCTCTGGTATGTATGTATGCATATATATATATATATGTGTATGTCTGTCTGTCTGTCTGTCTGTCTGTCTGTCTGTCTGTCTGTCTGTCTGTCTGTCTGTCTGTCTGTCTGTCTGTCTGTCTGTCTGTCTGTCTGTCTGTCTGTCTGTCTGTCTGTCTGTCTGTCTGTCTGTCTGTCTGTCTGTCTGTCTGTCTGTCTGTCTGTCTGTCTGTCTGTCTGTCTGTCTGTCTGTCTGTCTGTCTGTCTGTCTGTCTGTCTGTCTGTCTGTCTGTCTGTCTGTCTGTCTGTCTGTCTGTCTGTCTGTCTGTCTGTCTGTCTGTCTGTCTGTCTGTCTGTCTGTCTGTCTGTCTGTCTGTCTGTCTGTCTGTCTGTCTGTCTGTCTGTCTGTCTGTCTGTCTGTCTGTCTGTCTGTCTGTCTGTCTGTCTGTCTGTCTGTCTGTCTGTCTGTCTGTCTGTCTGTCTGTCTGTCTGTCTGTCTGTCTGTCTGTCTGTCTGTCTGTCTGTCTGTCTGTCTGTCTGTCTGTCTGTCTGTCTGTCTGTCTGTCTGTCTGTCTGTCTGTCTGTCTGTCTGTCTGTCTGTCTGTCTGTCTGTCTGTCTGTCTGTCTGTCTGTCTGTCTGTCTGTCTGTCTGTCTG